GGGGGGGGAAGGTGCTTCCATTAAATAATAGGAGTGTACTCACTTGGGGGTTCTCCCCGTTTGAGAGCGTGTCACTCTCATTGTCACGTAGCTTCAAGGCGCCTCGGAACCCGTAAAACGTCGGGGTTGGCCAACAATTGAAAGTGAATTGGTTGGATCTGGACCTGAATCAAAGAGACAAAACAAAAAAATAATCGAAAGCTGGCGGTTATTGTTTGGAGGACGCCAAAGGGTGGAGTAGCCACTAGTAATTTTAAAAAATGGGGCCAGCATTGATTTAGTGAAAATTGCACTGATGTTGTATTGGCGTATTTTGAATGACCGTACGTCGTACGAGCATTTATCGGTTTCCACGAGCAGTAAACCTTTGATTATAGGTAGTGAAAGCAGCTTAATCTGCCGTGATCACAAAGAAATGAATCTCTGTTTCACCTCGAGCTCTCCCAACCGGCTTGTACATGTTGTCAAGGACCATCGTCACAAAAACCAAGATTTACATTCCTGGATTCCTAGGGAGCCGCGGATCCATCCTGCTGGTAGTAATAATACATGGGAGTGCGATGCGCTATTTGATTGGTGCTCAAATTGTAGAATTAATTATGGGGCCGGATCCTGGGAAATTAGCTGCGGACGTCTTGCTATCGTGAAGTATATCCAACATAGGGCTAGAGAGAGAGAGAGAGAGAGAGAAAAGAAATCAAGCATAAACCTTCAACCCCACAAAATCAGCCCCGTACACGCTATATCCAGCACCTCCGTCATTGCCAATCACTACTTCATTGTCACCGTCCATCCAGCCCTCAGTCGATACCGGCCCGAACAATTCGCTGTGGCGCCCGCTGAGAGGCACCTCAAACTTGGTACCCGCAGTGGTGGACGCGATGCTGGTAAAGGCTGTCCCGCCGGGCCCGATGTAGCCTATTTTGGCACCAACCGGGACCCAAAAACCGCTACCGTAGGTATTATGAGTCGTATAGCCGGTGGTGGTGAAGCTTGTACTTGGGTAGAATGTGCCTGATGGAGGAAGGACGTAGTTGGTGTTGGATGGAGAGTGCGTTTGAGTAGCTTGCCGCGAGGGAGATAGGTAGGGAAATGACTGCTATATTTGGCGCTACTGTGATTGTGCTGGTCTGATTAGACACAGAGGATTGTATAGTGACTACTATCGCTTCGCTGGTTGGGGTCGTCGAAGCGAAGGCTATTGATAGTGTGTAATTGCTGCTATCAGTGAGGCCGTAGATATCCTCGAAGCTAGTCACTTTCCTAAATTTGACATCAGAAACCTTTTCCTCCGTGCCGTGAGTAGATCCAGAAATCAAAATCACCCTGTTGACGTTCCAAAAACGTTGGCAGAGTCCTGCCCCGATGGAGTGGTATCTTGCAACTCGAGCAGCAATGTCCCATGGCCTTGGACCTGGGATATATACGACGTCTTGACACCCTTTACCGTGATATTGCTCCAGATATCCTTAACTGTAGCTGCGTATTGAATCCTAACATCAGGCAAACTAATTGCCAAGTTCCTCGTCTCATTCGCCCAGTTAACGAGCGCGATGACAGTCCTCCCTCTGCTCAGAGGCCCACTCCACACATCGTATTCCTCTCCAGTATACCTCCTTCTCAAGGTTGCCATAACTCCCAGCTCATCCTGATTAAAATGAAACCACGACATTCTCCTGTTTCAAAATCGCCAACAACTCCTCACTAATAGCCGTGATTTCATCCTTCAGGGCCGCACCAATAATCAACGGACTCTTCAAGATCGCCCACAGCGAGAAATGAGTCTGCTCTTCGGGAATTGTATAAACACCATTTCCGACTTCTAGCATGTCCGTATCGGCCCACTGGCCAGGCCCAGCGAAGCTCGTCTGTGGCCCTGCCTGGTTCACTAATCGGAAAATGCTGGGCTAGGAAGAGGATATATCGTTACCGATCTTCCATGGCTTCCCTAACGCCGGTGCCCAACATTCCGGTGCCTAACCGGCTGGGAAACTGACGGCCCATTCGCAGATTTGGTAGAGTATGGTTCTCTTCTGCTGAGCAAGGGCATCTGACATGTTGGCGTAGCGCAGTTCTGGTGATACGCTAGAGGTGTATTCAACATTTGGAAATCCGGCTGCCGCGTCGGAGTACCAATTGTCATCTGGAGGAATTGCGTTAAGTAAAAGTAGTTTCTGCCATGTCAGTAGAAGCCGGAGGGTTATGCGTACATTTCAGAGAATCTACTTCCCAAGCCGCAAAGTTCTCGGCATCTTGAAGCTCGTGGCCTTGATTGATATTTTGTTATTCAACAGAATAGACGCCAATCATGAAAACTAGAATCTTACATTGACTTCCTGTCTGATTAGGTGGACTACCACATGACAGAATCCCAGCATCCTGATAAACACCGAACAGCAGTCCAAGGCCATGAAGAAACTGGCCGAGAGCTAGGAAACCCTGTGGGAAAAGAGTCGAATTCCAGATCAGCGAGCCATCGGGGAGGCGATCAGCGACAGTCCAACCACAGTCGGTGGTCACGTAGCGGTAGCCGAGAGAGGCAAGGCCCAGATTAACCAGTGCCTGAGCATTGGACTGTACGATGGACTGGTCGGGGAAGCAGCCGTAATGATTGTATGTGTTCCATCTAGTTTTGAGTGGTTAGTGAGCTGCGTGAGGTAGTGAGTTTCGGTTTATTATACCCCATTTGAGGAGTATCAGCAAGGTCATTCTGCGCACGAGAATTGCAATGAAGGACTTGCTGAAGTACTCACTATGACCACTGCGGCCACAATAGACAATGGTTTGAGGAACATCTTGTTCTCTTTAGTTGCTATTTACCTAGGTAAGGGTCAGGTACAGATACGAATTGACGGATTGACCAAGTTAAAATCATCCTGAGAGCTAGTTACAATACCATAAGTAGAAATTATCGGGTTTCTTCCCTCGGTTAGATATAGACCATTAATCTGCAACCGTGGCGCATCCTTTCTACCTGCTCAGATCATCACCGTTGATCAAGTCTGCATTTCGACGGCCGAGCGGGGGTTGCATAAGAATGCAGCGCATACAAAATGCACCACCCGATTTTCCATACTAGGCACAATATAGATGAAAATCGATCACAAAATCAGATTCAGATCAAATGCTCCTCCCCGGAACATTTCCTTTTTTCGGTAATTCCTTGCCTAGTTGGGTAAGCTCCACATGAGCAGCATTAGCCCTAAATGGGTTGCCTAAGGTATTACTGCTGACTGTAAGCTAGTATTGTATGATAAGATATAATTTATAGAAGTTGGTATATATCTCTAGAAGCTTTACATTAGTAGACTCGATAGTTCCAACTGACCGATTGTATTGAAATGGCGCTATTGCATTGGTCAACAAGGCTGCACGAAGTTACTAGGATGCCGAGAGCTTCAACGAATCACGTATTTATCAGATTCCCATTACAAGGCTGAATCGAATCAAACTGCATAACCAATGTAGAGTCCTCAGTCCGGTCGGTTGAGCTAGATTAGTTCGTCACCTAAGCTGAAACCTCGTGGGAGTGAGGCTTGACGTCGAATATGTAAAATAGGCTAAACAGCCGTCTATTATTCAGGTTTAGATATATGCCAAAATGCCGGACCTCATGGCGGAGCATTACACAGTGGGCTGGATCTGTGCTCTCCAGGAGGAATACGAGTGTGCGTCTCGAATGCTAGATGAAGAGTTCGATAGTCCTGAAATTGCGGCCAGCGATGATGACAACACGTGTCTTGCCGGTCGCATTGGAGGCCACTATATTACCATGGTTTGTATATCATCCCACATGGCTGGGAATAACGCCGCAGCCGTTGTTGCCCGGGACATGGTCCGATCGTTTCCCAATCTCCGTTTCATCTTGATGGTTGGAGTTGGTGGAGGCGCACCGACCCCGGAAAGAGATATCCGCTTGGGGGACGTGGTGGTCAGTTCACCACAAGGTACACTGGGTGGAGTTGTCCACTATGACCTGGGCAAGCAGATGACCGGAAATCAGTTCAGGAGGACTGGGCTACTGGTGTCGCCCCCTAACGTGCTTCTAGGGGCTTTACCGGAATTGCGGAGACGTCAGAACGATCCCCGTAAGCCAGATAGGATTGCCGATCATATAAAGCGCATGGAGAGTATGACGGAATATAGACGCCCTCAGGAGGATTTATTATTTCCCGCTGACTATTCCCATCAAGGCGGAGACGACTGCAGTTTTTGCTCTCCTGATAAGGCCTTGCAGCGAGGAGATCGTCCACGTCGCGGTAGAGAGATTGCTGTGCATTATGGTACGATAGCATCTGGTAATTCAGTCACGAAAGATGCGAGCTTGAGAGACAAATATGCGAATGACCCGGAGCTGAACATTCTATGTTTCGAGATAGAGGCGGCAGGCTTGATGAACACTTTCCCCTGTCTAGTCATTCGCGGCATCTGTAATTACTGAGACTCGCACAAAAACGATAACTGGCGCAAATATGCCGCCCTGACAGCAGCCTCTTATGCACGGGAGCTACTGAAAGTTCTAAGGCCAAGGAGAATCAGACCTTTGCCTTCACTGGCTGTGGCTCTTGAAGATGGTTAGTTAGTACCTATCACATCCTGTGCAATGGCCGCTAATATCTAGGTAAATGGTGAATAGTCAACAAAAAATTATCGCACCTGAGCTCTGCTATCGAGCGCCTTCAGGACGAGGATACAAAGAAGACCAAAATTCATGAGTTGGATTCGAAAAGCTATCGGTTCTACAGCTTCAGGGATAGCGTCAAGAGGAGGATATCAGGCCTAGATTCGAAGATTGTGTTCCCGTGGAAAGCCATGTCTATTTACAGCAAGGCTCAATTGACCAAGGTACACGAGCTTATGCCCACAAAATAATCTATATAGACAGCTCTATGCGTGGCATGTGCCAGAAGAGATTCCAATGTCTTCTAACTGAACATGGGCCTGTCGTACCAGAGAAAGAAATAATAGTTTTGCGCGATAGAATTCTAGACCAGTGACGTCTTTAGTTTATAGATACGTAACCACTTGAAGACAAATTTCTACTTCTCCAGCAGATCAGTTTCTATAGACTTCCAAGTACCAGCATTGTTTAGGCTAGCATGTATACTTCTTCAAGTATGCGGCAAAAGGATATTGTCTGCTTCCAGGGTGCTTGGGTCGGCCTTCAAAATATGAATTAATTTGAAAATGATATCAACCCAGTTAGTTTTTGCTTTTACTAAGTGGCCAATTTCAAATCATCTGCCTCTTTTCGACATAGGGAACGACATCTGAGCTTGCCGGAGTTTTCAAACGGTATAATTCTAAGAGAAGACGAGGAGCGCAGATGCACATATAATGATGCTGTTCAAAGTGTGTTATTATGCATATTATGCACCAAGAAATAAAGTTAATATATCCATGTTAACTCCATGCGCTTCTTCCTCATGACAAACCCATCAACACCGTCTCCTGTATTTGAAGTAACTCGAAAAGCAAAAAAAAAAAAAAAAAAAAAAAAAATTATTGAAGTATGCAACAAGATTGTAGGAAAAGTATCACGATGCTAAGCACCTCTTTGAATATTTGTAGACATTAGAGTGATTTTCTTATTCTTCTTCTTCCGACCACCGCCAACAGCAGCGGGTGCAGGCGCCTCTGTTGCTGTCTGTGCAATAAATTCGGCCTCTCGCTGCTCCATAAGGTCCTCTTCCCAACCCTGAAGCCAGCCATCGTTCACTGGTCTGCGTTCCAACGGATTCGAAGCAGACTGAATGGCCGCCGTACCCCACACAGTGCGAGCAACTGGAGGGCTCGACGACGGCGACGCAAGGGCTTCAAAGCGAGATTGCATTTGACTAGTAGCATGCGGAGAGTTTTCTGCGAATTCGCTGTCGATAATTGCCGAGTCAAGAGCGCCTGGCATTGAGCCGCCCAAGGGTAGGAAGTCTTGATCGGAGAAAGGACGTTGGTCGCTAATTCCAAAGCTGGGTCGCTTGCGACGAGCGGCAGTCCAGCGCTTTTCATCCTCCTCTTTCTCTGCTCGTAACCTATCCTTTTCTTCCCGTGCTTCTTTATCACGGTTTCTTTGTCGTCGTTTGCTAATTTCGGTTCGAAATTGCTCCAAAACCTCAGGCACAACAATATCGGTCCAGTCACATTCTAGGAAATTAACCTCGCAGCCATACGGTAGGTGGCCAAGGTACTTCGCTCGCTTCCGCAACTCATCATCCACAACATGACCCGTGGATATATGCTCCACTCGAGGGAGAATGGTTGCTGGAAACGATGAATATTCTCCGAAAGCCGCTTTGAGGATACGTATGTCAAGCGCCGAAAGGTAAAAGTGAGGCAAGCATTGGTAGAAATAATATGGTTGTTCGGGGGTAGCTCCAGAATTTTCTCGAGGTGTAGATTGCTTGATACGAGGCAAAGAACTCTTGTTCTTTCTTTGTGATTCTTCAAGGTTGCCGTGATCACCTAGATTGAGTGCATCCACACCGGCAATTACTTCCATAACATTGTTAGACATGGAAGGGTCACGATCTACTCCATTGGAATTATCGAGGTTCAATTCGTGCGTTGAGCCGGTAGTTTGGGTGGGTGTGTGTTCCGAATCTTGATCAATATGTATTGAAGCCTGTCGTCTCTTTTCGACGCGAAGGATATGTGGAGGATCGCCTAAGCCTCGAATCTTTTCTCGGGCATCGTTGATGTTGTTGATTGCTTTCTGAATCCAGGTTGTATCATCACCAAACAGGATCTCATCTTCTTGTCTTTGTCGGTTCAATTCCTGAATTTCGGAATCATACTGAGCCATCATATAGCCTTCTCCTCCTTTCATTATTCGTGCGTAGTCCGCAACTTCTGCCGCATGATACCAGGGAATATCATCATGTGGATCAAGGTCTTCGGCCCCATCGCGAGGCAAGGCCAAGGTGCTTCCAGGATTCCTCTTTACCAAACGCAAAACGACGTCACCGCCTTCTAATGGAAGATTCGTTTCCTGTTCGACAAACCAGCGAACTGGACGAGTGTCTGAAATATAGATTGTGTCCCAGCAAATAGGACATTTCTGCCAGCGTGCCTTCTTTTCCGGCATTGGCGTGTCATCATCAGTTGAATGCATGTAACGGATGAGGCACGGGAAACAGAAGATATGGCCACATTTTGCCATTCGAGGAGCGACTGGCATTGAAAGACAGATTGGACAGCTGGCAGCTTGAGTTTGTTCAGACGCGAGTACCTGAAGTACCGAGTCCCAGTCCAAATGCACATCGGCATTCGCCGCCTGCGCGTGGTAACTTCGTTGAGGATTCACTATAAAACGATAGTTGGCATGTACGTATCGAGCTTTATCACCAGGCTGATGTCCTGATCCAAATCCCCATGTCTGATGTCGTCGCGGACGATGCGAGCTCGGGTTATACTGCGGACGGGGAGGCAAGGAGAAGTTCATGAGATGGGTGATGGAAGTCTGACCTTTCCGGCTCGTTGTGGACCTCATGATGGCCTTACACAATTAGATAAGCGTTTCCCCCCCAACAGAAAGTACACTTCAATAGAGACTTACAGATTCCGAATATGCATCCTCGTTCACCAACGCAGGACGATGGTGTTTTTTGTGCTGGCCCTTTCGGGATTGATTATTCCTTGCTGATGCTATATTCCTGGTTGTTGAGCCTGCACCAAAGCTCCCGTTTCCTCCGAAACGCCTTTGGAGGCCCCCTTCCGTGGAATGGGTAGTAGCCTGAAAGGAAGACGGGGACGAGGAAGAGTTCGGGGTATAATCAGTTGCCTTGAGGTTACGAACCGCCTGTCCCGCAGTGGACGACATATCTCGTACTGAAATAATCCAAAAGCCAGCCCTATCTAGGACAGTGAACTGTTCTGATATCGAAGCAAGCAATCGTGTTAATGCTTGCGTTGCCCTGTGCCTGCAGAACTTCGACCTCGAAATGAATGGCTCGTATGACCGCGGTAGTTCGTCAACCCGGCAGAGTCTCTAGGTAAGTGATAGTGTTTGCTTGATGCAAACAGAATCAAATGCTTGATAGTCACGAAAGGGCCGCGAGAGGGCCACTTGCGCGTTGCGCTCTGACGGTTGTTGACAGAATTGCCCCTCGGGGGTGGGGAGCGACGCTGCGAAGTTGCTCTCAGAAACTCGGTCCCGTTTTGCCAGTCTTATGTCATCCCAGCACGTGTCTTGGCATCGATATGGACAGGGACAGCACCACGCATACATGTTGCACTTGATGGCTGGATTTGGCTGCAATAGAAGGAAGTTCTGAGATTTAAGCTTAGATTCATCCAGGTGGCAAATAAAACAAGAATTATATGTATAATAACTCCGTAGACAGAACATAGGCTTACGAAAGTTCATATTTACTACACGATGCTGCTCTCTATCTAGAACTCCTCGAGCATTCAGTTAAATTGAGAGCCAAAACCAAAGCTCACATTTGACTCATTACTGAGTAGTCTGGTGAGTCATTCACTGCCTGACGAGACCGACCGAACGCTGATGCCTGAGGCACCCAAGCGCGCCAAATCCACCGCCGCAAGCGCCTTGGCGTTTCTTTTCTCAGCCGCCGCCATTTCGGCGCTGACATTTCTGTGCAGGCCTGCCTCCTTCAGCCGACACGACACACCACACGTCACAAGCAGCTACGCTTGGTGACTATTTTGCATATCTGCCATATCGTTCGTTATACTTTCTATCCTGGTGCGTGATTTTACTTGTCCACAGCTCATGTCGCGCTGCTTGAGGCGGGAGAGTTCAGACAAGGCAAAAAAAGCTAACCTCACTTTTTGTGATCTCCAGCGAACTGACACTCGCACGTCCAATCGTGTCTTTTTTTCAATCGCCAACTGTCCTGCACGCAGCATGGCAACCTAGACGATCAGCCAGCCTATCGCTTCGAGATATTTAGATGTTGCCTAGTTCCTATTTCGCATGGCTCCCTTTGAGGCAAGGCAACCAACACTATCTGCCTGGACATGATAAACCACCATCTGCCGGCAATGCCCCATGGGCAGCCACCCATACCTCCTCATCCCCGGCGACAGCATGATATGCATTATTCCCCAGGGCCTCCAAACATGCGCTCTCCTCCGGCGTACATGAACTACCATCCTCCACCCGTCAACGGTCACGTTCCTCCCGTCTACGCACAGCATTATCCACCACCATGGTACAATGGCTATCCGCAAATGCACCCACCACCTCCTGGTGGTCCTATGCCACCAGGCCCTCCTCCTCCTCGCCCTTATCAACCTTCATACGCTCATGCTCCGCTGATAGTCTCATCCTACCCACACACGCAGCCGATCCCGGCACCTATGCATGTCTCGTCAAGTGGATTTCCCCGGCCACCATCGACAGCATCAACACCGATTCAGTCTACAATGTCTCCTCCACCCCCCGCTATCCCAGCCCATATCTCTATTGATGGCCAGGAACCACCGACACTAAATGGCGTGGTCTCATCTCCGCCCATCGCAGAAATACAAAAAAGTAGTCTACACGCACCTCTGCCCTTCCGTGCACCGGTAAGTTGACCTATTCTCAAATAATTCGCTCGACTCTGAGGTTAATCCGTTCTTTCTAGCTTCCTTGGCTCTCTGTACCGGATGAGCCCTTTCCCATTCGTGCTCCACATCGGCGTCGTAGTGGGCGCTCCTTACAGACCTCGGCTATTTCTGTTGAATTTCCTGCAAAGGAGACTCAAAAGATAGATATATCTCAAACAGATGAGATACCGACAACTGTGCAAAGTGAATATATCGACACATCAGGCCCTGGCCTCTCCGAGCCACAGACGCCCACGACGTCGCAGGCACCATCGGAGTCCGACTCGACCCATCCCACCACACCTTCATCTACTGCTCCGGCTTCCCGTTCTCGTACTCAAGCTCAGACTCCCAAGCAGGCTGTACCAGTGGTTCCAGTGGTCCCTATAGTCCCTGCAGCGCCTACCACACCAAAGCAATCTACTACCCCTCAAACCGCGGGAGAGGGCCAGGCGACTGATGTAAAGAGCGAAGCCGAAGATGTGGGAACACCTTGTCATAGTTCCGCAAACACCACTCCTGCAGCCCCAAAGTCATGGGCTGATTTGGTACGTTCCAAAGCCGCATCTCGCGGTGCTAGCATTGCTCCGAACACGACAGTCGAGACAGGAAATCTGCAGACTCGTCGAAATGAGTCACTTGGTGACGTTTTGACGGGCCTTGGATCTGACGTCGATCAATATGGCGAAAAGATTGCATTTTTAGAACCAAGGGGCCTTGTCAACACAGGAAACATGTGTTACATGAACTCGGTGAGTTCTTCTTTCGTCAGCCTAGATTTCTTAGACTAATTTCTTCTAGGTGCTCCAAATCTTGACATTTTGCGTACCATTCTACCAGTTTCTGGACCACATAGGCCGTCGCGCAGTTCATAGTTTCAAGAGCGACGTGCCGTTGATTGATGCAACGTATGTATTATGTCTAATACACAGAAGAACATGTCTAACAAAAGTCTGTCATTAGGATCATGTTCATGAGGGAATTCAGAGTAATCGACGCGGCTCGGTCAGAAGACCAACTTCGCATGCGACTCAAACATAAGGAACTAGAAGAATACGGAGAAGCATTCATACCGGAATTTGTGTATGAAATCATTCGCCAGCTCCCACGCTTTCGTGACATGAGGGTAAGGCCCATCTCTTTATTTACTTATAGAACATTTCTGACAGAATATATAGCGCGGTCATCAACAGGATGCCCAGGAATTTCTGGGTTTCTTCCTGGAGGAACTTCACGAAGAATGTGCTCACGCTTTGCAAAGTGGCACTGCCCAAGCGTCAGCAGAGACCTTATCTTCAGAAGCTGATGGATGGCTTGAGGTCGGCCATAAGCAGAAGGCCGCTATTACTCGATCATCGGGCGATGTTGAGTTTGAATCGCCCATCACTAAAATATTTGGAGGAAAGATTCGTTCGGAATTCAAAGTTCCTGGGAACAAAAATTCAGTGACGTTGGAACCTTATCAACCTCTACAGCTAGACATTGGATCTCCTGAAGTCAACAACATCATTGACGCTTTGAGAGGTCTTACCAAACCCGAAACTATCCATGGCGATTTCAGCTCTCCCAGAGGTCCCAAAGTTGCTGCCACAAAACAGGTTTTCATTGAAACATTGCCTCCTGTGCTTATTCTTCACTTGAAACGTTTCCAGTACGATAGCGTCACCAGGGGCACGCAGAAGATCTGGAAGAAGGTCGGATATCCGCTGGATCTGGAAATACCTCGCGAGGTTTTCCCACCCCATCGACGTAATGCGATGGCAATTCACGGCGGACTTCCGCACTACCGACTTGTTGGTGTCATCTACCACCATGGAAAAAATGCCAGCGGCGGGCATTACACAGTGGATGTAAGACGCCAAGATGGCCGCGAATGGATTCGGATGGACGACACTGTCATTCGTCGTGTACGCAGTGAGGATGTTGCAGAAGCAGGAAGCGAGGAAGATCCAAAAGTTCTCGCGGCGGCTTTGGAGCAGCACAAACGCGACAACAATCCGAATATATACGAACAGATTGATCAAGATAATCAACTTGATGATGAGAGAGGATGGAGTCAAGTCAACGGGTCCGGAACAGGTGGGCATTCAAGCAAGAAATCTAGCAGCGCTGTCGCAAATGGCGTATCGTCACCTGCAACCTCATCGAATTCTCCCGGCAGCAGGACGCCCATTGGGAGATACGGGACTCGCGACAATAAAGTAGCATATCTACTCTTCTACCAACGTGTTTCTTCGCCCTGATTTACGTTTCTTATTCGTTCTTGATGTCGGGACACGGATATCGCTAGTACTTTCAGGATCGGTAACGACACCGATGCATATTGAGGTTACGACGTGCATAAATTTCACTACATGGATTGATGCACATGACATATCTTGACAGTTTTTTCGACACGTAGCAGCCCCTTTAATATGCCGGTAAATTGTACATAGAGCATATATGGCGGGCTACTTTTTATTTCTCTTTTTCTCTTTTGACGACGCCAGATTTGACGCTGGTCCTTGTCTACGAGGCCATGACTTCCATACATAATTATATTATGATGTCCAGGAAAACAGCGACAAAAGTTCTTTTTTCTTGGCGACTCTGAGTCAGTTGGCGAGATGCCGATCTGATTGATTTCTTCCATTTGGCATTTGGTTTGATTGCAACGTCTCTTTGGTACCTGCAATTGACTGAAAACTTGCTTTCTCTCGACGAGTATTTCAGGGCATGTTGTATTGTGGTATTTTTTATGATTTTTCTTTTCTATTCTGGCTGGTTTCTTGGAGTGCTTCAGAGCATTTCAATCGTGGCTAAGTTCAGACCAAGATATACCCTTTTATCTACACATTACATGCCTACATATCCCTGTTAAATTTTCTATCTTCAACGATTTTACATTGTTTTCGTATTTTCCCTTGTTCACGCCACATATCTACTGGGTTTTTTTGATCGACTGGATATTGGTTTTGGGACTGAAAATCCCTTGTGATTGATATCCGGTATCTTCACAACGTGAGCAACGGATAGGACTACACGTGATGATGAGGATGTTGTTACTTTACAAAGCAAAACATCGACTTCGGATCATAGTTTTGACTCCACAGGTCTGTCTATCACAGACGGAGGAATATTCTATGATAAAATCTATTACACAGAAAAAAATGAGTCAATCATTCGATTACATTCTACTACCATTGGAACTGAACGTAATGATCGAGCGTGTCTCATCTCAACAACGCAAATGACTATGATACACCGACATTACCACGGAGTATTAGTGTGGGGAGAGAGGTCTCATTAGGGGTGAAAAGGGTTTGTAGGAGGTTAGGTGACTCTTGGTCGTAACAATCCTGTCTGCTGGTCTAGGTTTTATTCGGTTGTCTCTATGTGTCATTTTTTCAATCCTTAGCAACGTGTTGTCGGATTTGGAAATATACTCTAGTACTTACGTGTATGCTCTTTAAATATGATTGCTGAATCGTAATTGCAAGGCTCGATTACTTCGAGAAAGGATCATATAAAATGGCCTGTTAGAACTATATATAGTAGAGTAAAACTAGCGTAAAGATACGGTAATCTAAATATTTCTAGGGTCCTAGACTAACCGCGGTAGGTAAAGCAAGTACAAGACATAATACACATAAAAGCACGTATAATTATTTGGACCATAGTTTTCAACTAGTAAAGCGAGTTGCCATGTATTAACGGACTATTTATGATTGTAGAATTTGAACAGCCTCAGACAGGTTGTTCGCGAATGGATCTAACCAGAATAGGCTAGCGCTGTCAAGCTCCTGGCCCGCCGCTGATCGGCCTCTGGTTTATTTCTGAGACCTCTCAAGCCTGCGAAGGGGGGGGGTGGTTGTGAAAGTTCATCCGAGAGTTTGGATCACAACCACGCGGCGACACACTCTGCCTCTTATCAAAAGGAATACAAACGACTGCTTTGCCTGAACTCGGCCGTCCGCTTAAGCCTAAGCACCTCCCCCCCCCTCCATCGCGACCTGGCATCTCAAGCCCCTCCACGTCCGGGGAAGACTGACCAATCACCTGATTGTGCTCAGCCCTTACGTCCCCCCTCTCCACGCTGTGCCTCATTCTCAACACACCTACATACGACATAGCATTTGTCCTCACCTCCAGGACGATACATCAACAGTGCTAGTGTACGAAGACTAGTTTTGCCGGCAACAGAAACAAGGTCTATAGACCAGCCCACCGTGATCCCAACAAAGATCGTCAGAACCGGCTTCTCGAGGACAGCACACCGTGGATTACTTACGTACCACCCAGTAGTGAATGAGAGAGGCTTGAGGTACATCTGTATCACAAATGAGCAGCGTCTGGCATCACAATTGGCCTGTCCTGCAGAAATAGATATGGCCGCCAATAACCATTCAACCACAACCCCTTCTCCAAGCCCTGGCCCAACTGGGCTATCATCTTCGCCGAATACTGCCACTTCAGTCATCAGTGGAACGAAACGAAAGCGCACTTCAGCTACAAAATTTTATGCCGTTAAGGAAGGTTTTCGTCCCGGTGTATATTATAATTGGAATGACTGCCTAGCTCAGGTTACGGGATTCAAGGGGGCTGTCTGTGAGTCTTTACGCCTTTTTTTTTTCCTCTGCCTTTGTAAGAGGTGAATCTTTTGCTCAATTCATTTTCTTTTTTGTGCCGTGCAGTTCAGTCGTTCCCATCCTTGGAAGAGGCAAACTCCTTCCTCACAGGCCAAAAAGTGTCTTCACGCAATGGAGCCGCATCCGCCAATAACGAAGCTACGCGATTTTACGGTGTGCAGCGAGGACGAGTTCCAGGTGTCTATTCGAACTGGGCGGAAGCTCAACAACAGATCAGGGGTTTCACACGACCTCGGTACAAAAAGTTCGATACTCGCAAGGAAGCAGAGGAATTTGTAAGGATGGGCCAAGATAATGGAAGTATCACCGCTTCTACACAAGAAGTTCCCGGCATGACCTCTTCAAATCCGTCAGACGAACTTCCAGCTGGATTGACGCCTCTACCGCCCGGTGCTGAAGACGGATTTGACCCGAATGTACTGTTCGAGCCATCTACGGGCAAAGTAGTGTACAAGGCGCCTGATCAGAAGGCAGCATTGAAGTCAAAGCCGGCCGGCCCTCCTGGGATGCTTCGCATATACACTGATGGAAGCTCACTGGGTAATGGATCTAAAATCGCACAGGCTGGTGTGGGTGTTTATTTTGGACCAAATGATACAAGGTAAGCTCTTAATATTGGTTGCATACATAAGTTACAAAAGCTTTTGATCTATTATCAAGACCGTCGTCCACTGATAGCCGAGTACTTCGTTCCTAGCAGGAATGTCTCTGAGCCACTGAAGGGCACTCGCCAGACAAACCAACGTGCCGAGTTAACAGCAATCATCCGAGCGCTCGAAATAGCACCGCGACATCGACCTGTCACAGTTGTCACGGACAGTCGCTATGCCATCGACTGCGTGACGAATTGGTTTCGCAAATGGATCCGCAACAACTGGCTAACATCAGACAACAAACCGGTCGAAAACAAGGATCTCATCCAATCCATACTTGTCAAGATTAATGAGCGCGATTCTCTAAAAGTCACGACTACTTTTGAATGGGTTAAAGGACACAATCGTGATCCTGGGAATGAGGAGGCAGATAAGTTGGCTGTTGATGGTGCTAGGAGAGGGGTGATGAAGACTCCCTCAGGTCTCAAAGCAGCAGATGCCGATGATTTTGACCTTCCTGATGAGCTCGCAGATGATATTGACGATGTTTGATGAATGAATTAATGATTCTTACAGCCGCTATGTCGCTATTCTATTCATGTATTCTTGAGTCAGGCTTTGACTCTGAAAGTAAATTTTTCTTCCAGTGGCCTGATTATATGGTCTGATCCAAGCTTGTATGTATCCAGCAGGTATGGAGATGCATTACATTACAATTCCCTATAGTGCAGTGTTGCGTCGTTCCATCAAGGCATTACTGAACAACCCGAAACTTGGTGGATTTTCCCCTTTGGAATCCAAGCTGCGAAGACTTCCTGCCCATCCACTTAAGTCACTGGCAGCAATTTATCTGGCAGAGATGCCTGAGTAGTGGAACAGCGGCTATCTGGCCAATAGAACGCCATCTCTTTTAACTCTCAAGGCTGGTTAACTATGCGGGGGCCACATTGCGCTTGCAGCAGCCAATCCAAATCCACACGTTGAATTACATAAATTACCTCGTCTGGCATGGTTGTCGAATTTAGTAATGCGAAAATAACCACACTAGCGCCCAATCTGATAGAAAATGTTCATTAGAAGATAACAAGGATTAAACTTTAGAGAATTATTCTGCCTAACTGGCGGGCTTTGATTGGTCCAAAAACCCTTACTAGGGCTTGCTAGTTTAGCTACAATCACTGATATATAAGCTGATAGTGAGACAAACAAGTCCTCTTGCGCTCGATTGTGAAGTGTTTCACTCCTGAAAAGCTTAGAGACCAGACAACGCAGCATGAATAACGCCTTTGCACAATGGCGCCAATTTATCCTCTATTTCCAGTACGGGAGTCTGGCCATCTTCAAGTCTCCCCTATCCACTCAATATACTATGAGGATTGCGGCATCATAACCGGTGTTCCAGTCTTATATCTGCATGGGGGTCCAGGAGAAGGTACGTACATGTTATAATTACTTCCCTTCTGGCTGTCACTAATCCTAGACCAAGGGATCGTGGACTCGGATAGACAGTACTTCGACCCAACCCACTACCGCAGCGTGCTCTTTGACCAACGTGGCTGCGGCAAATCCCTCCCTTCTGCGTCCCTAGACGATAACACAACCTGGACGCTTGTCGCCGACATCGAAGCTCTCCGAGAACACCTCAAAATCGCAAAGTGGATAGTATGCGGCGGGTCCTGGGGCTCGACATTATCACTGGCCTATGCCCAGAAGCACACTGATCGCTGCTTGGGTCTTATTCTCCGTGGGATCTTTACCATTCGCCGCCAAGAATTGGAGTGGTTTTACCAGAAGGGCGCGGATATGCTGTTTCCTGATTATTTCGAGCCGTATAGAGCTTGTATTCCCGAGGCGGAAAGAGGAGATATGATTGCAGCTTACTATAAGAGACTCACCGGCGATAATGAGGACGAGAAGTTGAAATGTGCTGGTGCATGGAGTACCTGGGAGACCTCGACAGTCAAGTTGATTGTGGACCCGGAAACTGTCAAAATGGCCGCGAACCCCAAATGGGCGCTTGCGTCTGCTCGCATTGAATCGCACTTTTTTGTCAATGGTGGGTGGATGCGCGACGGGCAATTGATTGAGGAGGCATTTAAGATTAGACACTTGCCGATAGTTATTGTGCAGGGTAGATATGATGTTGTTTGTCCGGCAAAGACGAGCTGGGAGTTGTATCAGGCGCTTGGAGGGAAGGCGAATCCCAATGTCGAGTATTTGGTTATAGCAGATTGTGGGCATAGTGCACATGAGAGCAAGATTGAGGAGGCCCTGGTCGATGCGGCCGAAAAGTTCAAGGCGCTGAAGATGTAAGCAATATTCGCGAGCTACAGCATTTCCTAGACTGTTTTTTTTCTAGACATTGGTTTGAGTTGGAAGTCTTTGACATTACTCATGTCGTTGAGCCATGCATGCATCGTTCGTCGGCGCGAGCATTACGCCGGATGGGCGAGGAGGGCAACCATTGTACCCTATGTTTGGTATGGTGCCAAAAATTACCAGTGAGCTCAATAATTTTCCCCCTTTAATATATTCAATTTTTTGCAGTCGGTTTCGATATGAAGTGCTCATGGCAGGTTTACGTCGCGAAGCCTCAGGCACCAAATTCAGACTAGTACCTAATCAGTAAGACCCCTATATCTGCCAATCAGAGTGTTTCACCTGCTAAACATATAATATTTCTAACCGGATATGGATACTTAAAGCACGTGATGAATCACGTGCAAATCCATCCAATCAATGAGCACATGTCAAATCAACGTGTCTCGAGCAACGTTCGTTCAAAAAAAAAGGTCATCTCGATATTTGAACTGGGAAATCGGTCAACGTATCCGGATATCTATTTCTGGAGGACAAATATTTCCTCGTAAATAAGGAAACCGTGAAACTGGCTTACCTGATTTCCAACACCCTGATGCGCAACAACTGGACACTGTTACTTTTGTGCACTGTTTACAAAACCATGATTGAATAACATTTTTGCTTGATATCGGTTCTTAGGCGGAGCCTTTTATTATTGCCATCTTCTGCTCCGTTCTTTTCCATGTTGAGGTCTGCTATCAAATAAACTTAAAACGGAACTGCCGAGAAACGCAAACATGCCGACTTTAGAGCTTAGCAATTTCAATATTGTATGCTCCGTCCTGGGAGGATTTGTCACTCTCTTTGGATTAGTGTCCTATCTTTGCAAGGAGCGGTTTTATCTCTCTGAAGCCTGTGAGTTTGACTTACTTTTTCAAAACCCAAGCATTCTTCTATAACTTCAATGCTCTGAATTGGATACTGACTATGCATTGTATATCGAAAAGTGATATCAACATTGGCAGGCGTCGTATTTTCACCCCATGCAACAAATTTCATCAAACCTTTAGATTATGCTTTAGGCTCGCAGTCCAACCTGGACGAAATCACACAGTACTTCACCCGCCTTGTCCTCGGCGTCCAGTTGGTTATAGCCGGTGTCCAGTTGCCAGGACGCTACTTGCAAACAGAATGGAAGAGTTTGCTACTGCTCCTCGGTCCTGGGATGGCAGCCATGTGGCTGTCGAGTGGGCTCCTAATCTGGGGCCTCGTCCCCAATATCTCCTTTGTGCAAGCACTGGCGGTTGGTGCATGCGTCACGCCCACAGACCCAGTGTTGTCCAACTCTATTGTGAAGGGTAAATTTGCGGACAAAAATATTCCTCGCCCTTTGCAGAGAATTATTATAGCTGAGTCTGGTGCCAATGATGGCCTGGGTTACCCGTTTCTGTTTCTGGCACTGTACCTTCTGAAATATACTCAGGGACCTGGTTTTAGTGGCGGGGCAGGCAAGGCTATCGCCCTTTGGGTCTATGAGACACTTTGTTATGAGATACTGCTGAGCATCGTCTACGGTGCGGTTGTCGGGTGGTTGTCTATGAAATTGCTTCATTGGGCAGAGGAGAGAAGATATGTCGATAGGGAAAGCTTTCTCGTTTTTGCCATCTCTCTTGGCGTGAGTCTACCCTTTCTATTGTACTGCTGCTTCTCAAATCTCACTTGAAATACTTTTAGCTTTTCATTATGGGGACGTGTGGACTTATTGGCACCGACGATCTGCTGGCTTGTTTCATAGCTGGAAACGCGTTCACCAACGAGTAAGTCTCAATCCAACCAAAAGGGAACGTGTGTATATTAATTAGATTGGAACAGTGACTGGTTCCGACTCGAAACAATGGACGACTCTCTCCAACCAACAATAGATATGCTTCTCAATCTGTCAATTTTCATCTGGTTCGGCGCAGTGTGTCCCTGGGCCATGTTCGCGCATAACGATGTCATCCCTATCTATCGACTTGTCGCTTTAGGCATACTGATCCTCCTGTTTCGTCGTCTACCCGCTGTGTTTGCCATGCACAAATACATCCATCAAATTGAGCAAGTTTCCCAAGCATTGTTTGTCGGCTTCTTCGGCCCCATCGGCGTGGGCGCTATATTTTATTTGTCGGTCTCTCGCCAGTTCCTTCTCGAGAACATGATTGTGGATGGACAGGTCCGTGATGATGCAGCCAAGACGGCAGATGTGACTTATATTGTGGTTTGGTTTTTGGTTATCTGTAGTATTGTGAGTGTCCTTATTTCCCCTCTGGAACCGAGCGTTAGGATAAACCATGTGCCGATTGACAACGGCTAATACCCTTTTCTTCCAATCATCTAGTTTGTGCACGGCCTCAGTGTTCCTCTCGGCAAAGCAGGATACCATATCCCACGCACAATCTCCAGCGCCCTTAGCACAAGCTCTTTCGAACCAGAACCGATTCGCCTTCCCAACCGAACCACCCACAGCACAGCAACAATAGCATCCCCACGCGGTCTACGACTCTATCGGAATCGACAACCACGCAAAAATAGGGGCGGAGCAACTCCTCCCCAGGTTGTATTCCAGATTTCTGCTTCGGGAAGTCAGCAGCAAGTACAGCAGCAGGAGGAACAGAAACAGCATGCTGCTACTTCTACGCCCGGAGATTTGTTGCCATCTGAAAGAATGCCTACCATGCCGACTCCGGCAACGATGCATGAACCTAGTAGGCCGATTAGATTGGTAGGTGAAGATGGCAATGTGATGGAGACGTTGAACTCGGCGTCAGAATAGAGCTTCACTGTTTGCTCATTCCGTGTTTGACGTGAGTGGTGAGTAGTGAAAAGGGAAGTGGAAGTGGCAGCACATATTTCGGTTTTAGTTTTGATGTGGTGTAATTTTTCTTTCGGTTGTGATAGATATAGTTTGATAGAGTACATATTTTGTACAGAGAGAAGAAGAAAAACAGGGGGTGTCAGGAAATATTTGAATGCTAGTAGATATAGAATGCATATTTTTTTTGGATTTCTCTCTCGTTATCAATCTCCTTTGCTACGTTTGACGATATCTAGGTAGTTAGTCATATCTAAAGTATGGAGGTATTGAGTCAAGGCCGTATGTATGAAATAGTGAGGCATAGATATAGAGCAGAAAAGGGATTTTTGTCTATTCCAAGTCCGGATGAAGGGATGTGTACTGAATCAATCCTACCTACGTACATTCATGAAAGACGATATATTGCATCCAAAATATAGCCCAGAATCACGCGATTCCCCCCTGTTTTGTACATGAAATGGCGTCTTTTCACCATCAAACGAAGAAATCCTCGGCATTAGGTAAGTCAGAGAGCATGGAACGAGAAAAAGGGAAAAGGAAAATCCTCATATGTACTACATACCAAATAGCACGCGACATTGTTACACTTGCACCATCGCCACGCTCCCGTGACATCAGGGGAAATGAAATATAGATACGTACTACGTACTACCTACCACCTGAGGCCACAAGTCTAGAATGGAAGAATAGAAAAAAGTTATACAAGGGCGAGCAGATAAATTGGAAATCGGCCCCGGGTTGAACGAACAGGATGTGATGATGGGCCGGGATAGATCCCCGGAATGTTGGAATGTGTATGCACCACCCTCAAGCATTGCGGTTGCAACCAAGGGATATGGGATTATTGTGCTAGCCAATTAAGCTATGCAGATGACCTTCAACTCCGCTACAGCACATGCACATACGTCAATCATGGATGATTTTTGTACTGGCCAGGGGGAAGTCATGTATTAGATTAGTATTATCATTCAGGTGTGTATATATGCGAGCTTAAGCTTATTCCAATTCTAAGGTAGATCCAATTAATAGAAGAGATTTTGGGCTAGGTAGAGTGTGATATACCAAGAATGAGGAGGAAGGGATGGTTGAGACTTGATGGAAGCATCACATGTTTCGCTTGCCCTAACGGAAACAAGAGCCCATTCCACCTCCGACCTCCTTGGACAGTCCACTCACCCAGGTTATACAGTGCTTCAAGCCTTGAAAAATCTACTGCTCTCACCCACTTTATATGTTTTGCTGGAAATGTGGACCGTGAATGTGGGCTGCCGAGGAGCGCTGTCTCTTTGATCGCAGATCCCGTCTTTAACAGTGTCATCTTCCCGCTGAAAAATTTATCTATGGGGAACCCAGTCCAGTATTGGGGTCGCTAGTAGTTGGAATGCGCAGCAGTCTAACCTCTTTTTGATTCCAGGGTGACTTGTAAAGACTGTGCTACGTCAACCAATGCCAATACAGTGCAGTGTCCTTCAAAACACCCAATATCTCTTATCTCCGGGTGACTTGGGATTAATGGTTCAACCTCAACTGAGAATGACCATATCCCTGTCTAAGCTTTATACATGCAGGGGCTACAGATGGATGTCACTCTGGTCGGTTTGTACAAACACCCACAGCTTTATCCCTCCCTTCGTCAAACCCAGCCAGGCATCAACCATTCATTCATTCACTCATTGCAAGAAAAGCTTAAGGAACACGCAAGCTTTGACAATATGACGTCGAATACTTGAATTCTCGTGTTGATTACTCTAGGTCATTTATTACTAAAAACTGATTTTCGGTGACTGACCTAAAACTCTACCACGCCCTTTCCATCCATACCTGGTATTTCAATACTGCTAAAGAATCTTTCACCTTTCAGCATGTCTACCGACGACCCAAAACAGCCAGCAACTGTGCAAAAGGAGCTGAAGAAACCACGATTTGTCAGTTACCTATGGGACACATTTGACAAGCCGCCGGCAGAAAGACGACTGTTGACGAAGCTTGATACTGCAATCATATCGTTCGGTGCAGTCGGTAAGCAGTAATTTGGTTTTTCCTTTCTCTATATTATGGCTTACCGCTGATACACGAATTCCATGAATACTAGGCTACTTTGTCAAAAGCGTGGATCAATATAACATCAACAATGCCTTTGTGTCCGGAATGTACGTGTTCTTCGACTTGACGTGAAATTGGCGCATATTATTTCAGCTAACGATAATTCTTTTCATAAGGAGAGAGGATCTCAAATTATATCAGAACCAGTTGAATTATATACAGACTGCATGGGCGTTGGGTTATGCCTTGGGGCAAATTCCTAGTAATATCATCCTCAGTCGGGCACGACCAAGATATTGGATACCGAGTCTTGAGGTATGGAATTGATATCATACGTACACACACACATATATATATATACATATAGGCAGACTAACATTTAATCATAGGTTTGCTGGGCCGTCCTTACTCTTTCATTATCCAGATGCAACCATGCATATCAATTTTACGTGATCCGGCTGCTCATTGGTAAGAACTTCATTATCCGCCACCCAGGTCTTGGTCAATTTAGAAGCCATATTCGATGACTAACTTATAGTAAACAGGTCTCTGCGAAAGTGGGTATTATCCCGGAATCCAGCACTCTCTTGGCTCCTGGTATAGACGAGATGAACTAGGGAAGAGAGCCTGCATATTCCAGATTTGCAGCGCCATGGGCCAAATGGCGTCCGGGTACATAATGGGCGCAGTCTACCATTTAGAGGGCATAGGAGGGTTTAAAGGATGGCAATGGTTGGTCTATTATAAGAGAAAAATCTGCCGGGTTTCTTCCTATATGATTTATGACTAATCGAGAGCTCGATGTTTAACTAGGGCATACATCATCAACGGCTCGATCGCGTTGCCTGTGGCTATCGCGGGTTACTTTATACTCCCTGATGTGCCTGAGATCACAAAGTCGTGGTATCTAAGCGAAGAGGTGGGCTGATATCTCCTATGTTCTTATTTGCGTACGTCGGACCGACGCTCAACGGAATCTAGGAAATCAAACTGTCGCAGCTGCGAATGCATCTGGAGGGACGAAAACCTCGGTCGAAGTATACCAAGGAGAAGCTGAAGAGGATTTTTAGCTCATGGCATATATATCTTATGTCTATACTCTATGTGTAAGTGACCACCTTAGCAATCTTAAGGTAGATCTCAAATACTTAGACAGATGCTGACAACAACAGAGCTTTCAACAATGGAATCGCAAACACACAGCCGATATTCCAACAGTAGGTCTTGCTAAATTCCATGCTACATTGCCTCGGAATTCATACTTTTATTGCAGATATCTTCGCCATTCCACGAACCCTCGTTATTCAATTCCGCAAATCAACAACTACCCAACAACTACATCAGGGGTGCAAATTCTGATGACCGTGATATATGCCTGTATGATGAAATTCAAGAGCAGCAAGATTTGCTTAGGTATGCTGATAGATTGACTACGTATAGGGCTCTCCGACACTATCCTTCAAGGCAGACGCTGGCCGCCGCTTGTATTTGGCGGAGTAAGTTTATAGCGTTGATTACAATTGAAAAAAAATAAAAAATAAAACTGACGTTGAATCTAATACTAGATTATAAATATCATCTGTTACGTATCCTTAGCCATCTGGGATATCCCTACTTGGTGGAAGTGGACGTGTCTCATCGCCGCAGGGGCGTCGTTCGGGTTGGGTGGGCTATGCATGGCGTGAGTTCATACACCTTGTAAAGAAGAAAAAGAACAGGAATAATTCACTGAAGAATCAATATAGCTGGGCAAACGAAGTGTGCCAAAACGACAGCGAAGAACGCGCCATCACCATCGCAGCCATGAACGAAATCGCATACATCCTGCAGATCTGGCTGCCCCTGCTGGTCTGGCAGCAGGTCGACGCCCCGAGATATTTCAAGGGATATGTCACCGTCTCCAGCATGTCCGTTCTGCTTATTGTGATGAGCTTCATAGTTCGAAGATTGCACAACAGGGAAATGTCTGCTGAGACGGTTGGCCAGCAGGAGCATGCTACTGAAAGCTGTGTTCAGCTACATCCACGTGCTGCTATGGATGACGGCGACTGGAATATCAACTCTCATGCCATTCAGCTTTGTCAGTTTGATAGTATTAATGGGCATGAAGGGGTTTCTTCATCTTCGTCTTCTGTGTCGAATGAAAAGTATGCGCCCTCGCCGACTACCATTAGTGGCTCGACGATTGCTGCTTCGCCCTGCGAAAAGGGGTCTTCGTCTATTCTTCAATCTCCGGCTACTGACTCTGGAGAAATGGGAATAGAGGCATGTCCGTTAAAACCGGTTTAATAACTGATACGTGTTCTTTGATCAGGAGGGAAGAAGAGTCCTATTATGCTAGTTCCTTTTTCCCATTATTGGTGATTTTTTTTTTTGAACAATTATTTGTTCTAACCACTTATATGTTGTGTTAGGTTTACATATAACATCAGAGCTTGGGTGGAGGTTTTTTATGGTTTTAGGACTGATTATTGCTAACGCTGATTGTCAAATATTTATGTATTATTCCTATTTTGGCAATCCGACCAATCTCATACAAAATTACAAATGCGCAAGTTAGCACTGGAAAATAAAACAGACGTATCACGCATAGTTTATAAATCTGCCAAGCTGCTTACAGGGTGTTCCAGTCCTTTCTAGCCGGTACACTGCTTCAATTCTCCAAATTCTCTTACGAATATCAACCATAGTTAGTACCGGAAGGAAATTATCATCAGTTCCAGGTGACTCTCACTTCAATCCCACCGGACTCTCCATAAACTGGCATGCTGGCTGAATACAGGTTATTGTGAAAGAAACCGCAGATCCTCTTAAATCACTTTTATTTGAGCTTTCTACCTAGGTATATGTTGCGTTAGATATATGAGTTGCATGTATAACGTCAGAACTTGGATGGACGACAAAGACCAAGTACCTACTGCTGGAGCATAACAAATGCCTGCATTCAAAAAGGAAGCTGGACATGTCCAAGCCAGATTTAGATTTGGCTTTTATGGCTGAAATGTTCAGAATGCATGAATTATTCTTCAAATCAGCAAGCCAAACTGCAAGCCACTAACCCGATTGGCAGCGACGGAGAACCGTCCAAATCATACGTCTTCCTCCTACTAATTACTAGTTATGGTAGTTAGGGCTAAGCGTCTATATGAACCGCCCATTGCCCATTCTCCGGAGCACTCATATCCCCTACTCATGCCTGTGCGCATTACCTCCAGCTCTATGGTACCGCATCGCTCGAAAATGCCAGCTTCTAATCTGTACGACTATGTGGTATTGGCGGATCAATCAAGCTGGCTTGGAGGACTTGCCTGGTTTCTTCATCACAGTCTAGCGGACGTCGAACATAGTTTGGTTGAGAAATATCGATTAAGGGGGTTGATGTCGTGAAGGGCAATTCCCGTGTATCCAGACTTGATGCTGCCGCCAGCATGAGCGATGAATTGCTTGGTGAACACTCTAAAGGGGGAACATGTAGCCGTTGCAGGTACGGCCAGTGTCGACAAAATCATTTTTTGGCATAATGGCCTGTTCTCGTTGCCCGTCAAGGATAGTGGTGAAACTAGATCAAAAGCATGTGCACACTGGTAGGAAATAGGCAGCAAAGATGAAGGGCATATTATGATAGGCCCAATGTCAAGATTTATGTATGCAGGTAGGCATCATTCATATTCTTCATTCTACATACAACTACTATAGACTTATGTATAAACGTAACGCTCAGTTCTGGAAATGATAGAATCACGCTATAGTTTGGCGCGCACGTTGTCAAGGCCCGAGGGACCGTCGTAGATCTGTTGCTCTACCAGCCTTGAATTAATCTGGATTATTGTTAGTATCGACATCATTTGGATGGTGAAAATGTATGACTTACATGTTGAGAACCAAGATCAGTTACCTTTTCCACGCCTAATAGTTGCATGCAGGTTTTGGTCTCGTCTGCAAGAACTGTTTCCAGAACTCATTAAAACTAGAATTTCAGATATGGGGCAAGAGAAGAACGTACTCTCAAGTGTCCTAGAAACTCCAGCAATACCTCCAGCACCAAGGCCCCATAGCGCCGGTCGACCAATACCCACGGCCTTTGCGCCCAAACACAACGCCTTCACAACATCCGTACCTCGTCGAATGCCGCCGTCAACCAGTACTTCCAGTTTATCAAACACTTCAGGACAGTATTTCCGGATCTCGAGCAAGGTGTGAACAGCCGGGGGCGCGGTGTCTAATGCTCGTCCGCCGTGATTGGACAGAATGATACCTTTGACTTGCGGAGTGAACAATGACGCGAGATAGGCGTCTTCATGGGTCTGCAATCCCTTTAAGATGATAGGCAATTTAGTATGTTCTGAGAGCCATTGCAAAGTCTCCTTCCAAGTAAGATCGTAAGCTGTGCCCGCGAACAACTGTACACCGACACCACCACCTCCTTCTTTTGGCGTCGGTGTTCCATCTGGGAGTGTTTCGGGTTCTTCCTCCTCTTCCTTTCCTTTCTTCTTTTCTGCAACCGTGCCAGAGCTAACCGGTAACTTACTACCGGTGTTATCAGTGCGCATATCGTCCTCTCGCTTGCCAGGTACAGGCGCATCAAGTGTGAGGATAATGCACTTGATAGCCTTCAACTTGTGAACCCGCGCTAGCATGGCTTCGCTCTTTTTCCGGTCGATTTGCACGTAGAGCTGCCATCCAAAGACCTGGTCGGGCGCGGCATGTTCGACAATCTGTTCCGGCGACATGGACGCGTTGTTCGATATGATTTGCATGGCGCCAAACTCACGACAAGCAGCAGCAATCCCCGCCTCGCCTGCCGGGTGTGCCAGACGCGCCATTGCGGCTGGCGAGACGTATATGGGCAGGTTTACTTTGTGGCCTGATATGGATGTTGAGAGGTCGCATTTGCGGACGTCGATGAAAACGCGGGGTCGCAGGAGGATTGAGCGGTAGACTTCTCTGTTGAAGTGTTTGGAGATCAGGTCGTCGGAAGCAGAATAGTAGTATCCCCATGCTTTGCGGCTGACTTGTTTAGTGGCTACTTGCTCGATTTCGTCGAGGTTGAAGAGTGTTTCTAAGGGTGGTGGTCCGGCATGGGTTCCGTCTTTTTCTTGTTCTTGTTTGTCTGCGCTGGGCTTGGGCAGAGTCGCAGGGTCGATGGTTCCCAGTACGGCCTCGGGCTTGAGGTTTTCCTCTAATGTGCCTGGCGGGTGAATGGGGTCGTATTCTTCGGTGGCATCTGTGCCGGCGAGCTTGAGAATCACTTTGACTCCGCCGGGGTGGCTGGACATGAAGTCTGTGACCTAGTTGTATGCACCACTTGGTCAATGCAAGAAGGCAATTCGAGGAGACAATCACCCTACATCATAGACCTTGCCGTAGAGGACGACCCAGCAGCTTTCGGGGGTGTTGTGCGTTGCGACTGTGTGTGTATATCGTGGTGTTTAGCAAGAGATACGCAGAAAGCATAGCATTGCTGATGACATACCTTCCGCTGCGTCGAATACTTTGCCCATGATGGATGGCCCTGTGTCTTGTAATTGGCGATTGGCGATGGGAGGAAGCGCAGAGAAGACAAGAAATACAACGAGCGAGTGTAGTTCGGAGAGTATGCCGAAGCGCTGTGGTTGGTGGAGAAACGTCGGCTATCCAGGATGATGTCAATAGCCGGCGTCTTAAGGAAAGCATTTGGTAGAATAAGGAAGTGAGCAGGATTATTATACAAACCAAGTGAAATAAAATAAAAGAGGCAAGGAAACGAAGAAGGGCACTGCCTGGTGTGCCAGTGCCAGTCCAGTCAGTGAAGCGAAACGACTATGTACGGAATAGTCTTAGTGCGGCCATCTCCGAATGTCTTCACTCCCGCCTGCAACTTGACATCGTCGCCGTCTGTCGGAAGAATAGAGACAAACAACCATGTTTGAGGTACGAAACTCAAGCTTTCCAGCACTAATCATCTGACACTGACAAGACAACGCACAGAGACACGCCGCAGACCACTACCGCCTGCGCCTGCACCGCGCTCGCTCCACCGTGCTCACGCCGGACGAAATGGTCGAAGTACGCGCCGCCCAACGCACGTTCGAAGGAGCCTACATCCGCACCGCGCTGTCGGCATTCTCATTCGCGCTCATCGTGCTCAAAGTGTTTACGGCTGAGTTCTACGGCATCGGTGCGCTGTTCGCCGTGTACGGCACCGGGGTGTTGCTGATAAGCAACTTCCGTCGCCAGCAGGGCAATCGACAGTTCTTCTCGGAGATAGGGGAAGACGGGCTGCATCGTCGCAAGTTCCGTACCAGCGGGAATGCAGTTGTGTTTCTGACGGCGTTGAGTGTTGCGGCTTATGCGAGTCTGATTGGGCTTACGCTGAAGCTGTAGTTTAGTTTGGGCTGGCGTTGCATTGTCAATACGATTGATTATGCAGTGTCTCGTTTACCACTCGGGCTGTGCAGCTAGCTGATCACCGAAGCAGATTTGCCTGGATGTTCAACTGCTCTCCTCTCCGCCAAGATGGGCGGAACAAGCAGGCAGAGCACGGCCAAGCCATTCCGTACCGCCCTGTTATGCTCGTCCTGCTTGGCTGTTACTCATTCGCGGCGGAATGTTGCACATGGCTTGGCGCGCTGAAAGAAGACTGGACTATGGGCGTATTTGTGAGCGCGCAAGGGATGTGGGCAGCCAGCGAGGACTATATCAAAATCGATCTGCCTAGACTTGACCGCTCCTTGGCGTGGGATCGGCGCCTCGTGTATCCATAGACTATCAGACTATTAGTGAAAATACTCTGATCCTGGCCGGCGGAGACCTTGCCTCCGAAGAGGACGCTGGCTGCAACGGGGGGCGGGGGGCGGAGTTTTCCTTGATGAATCATTCATTCTCTCCGTCCGGATTGTCAATACTGAATGAAAGGGGCGCGCACTTGGCGGATTCCTTTGTAGATATCTGATTGTCTATATATTTAGATCTGCCTACCTACCTAACGAACGATAATATCTATCTATAGATCTATATATAGTCATACGCCGGTGTTCGTGTTGTTGGATTTCCTCTTCCGTCGTGAACGAACGGAGAGACGCCGCCCGGATTAGGTCAGCGGCAAACACTGACTCGCCTTCACTCATCGTGCCATCAGAACAGGTGATGATTTGGTCTCCTTGATAAATCTCGTCGCTTCCCTGATTTTTTCGTGCTCGACCCACCAGCTACAGAACAGAACTGGACTATATATATACCACCCCTCCGCCCCCCTCCCCGAAGACATGGACGCCGCTTCGTCGCCGCCGCCGCCCTCGCAACAACCGCCGCCCTCGCAAAATCTCGCATCCTCATCCTCGCTGTCGTACTCTCCCTCCTCGTCGTCGCCAACCCCGGGCGTCGCCGAGAACAAGTCTGCCAACGGCATCCCTCGCTCTACTTATAACCCCCCCAAGACCGTCATCGGACGAGCGCTAGGCAACGAGCTGCATACGGATGCCCACAAGCCGGCTGCCCAACTGACCTCTCAGCGCCGCCTGTCCAAGGACGGAGTCGGGATGGCCCTGTCAGACACCCCGGTTTCTACCGCGCCCAGCTCTCCGCAGATGTAAGGATGCCATTGCTAGATTGTGCTTTTCTTCTCTTTTTATCGTTATCGTGATCGACAGCGATTGCGCTAGCGCCCGCTTTGCTTTTTTCTGTTCCATTCGTCCTCGGCTTAAAAGGCTTCATCTCTAAGCTAGCTAGTTGCTGACACTTGACGACCTAGACGCGCTCAACTGCACACTCCAACCTCGTCCGTCACCTCGTCTGTCGCGCATACGCCCAAGCCCCGCGCAACGACTCTTGACATTCCTGGCCTCACCCGGTCCAAGGTCTCGCCCGATGGACGCATCCCCGAGCGCGACCTCGGCTCGAAGCTGGTCATTGTCATGGTCGGCTTGCCGGCACGAGGCAAAAGCTACATCACAAAGAAGATGGCGCGCTACCTGAACTGGCTGCAGCATGACACTCGCATCTTCAACGTTGGCGAGCGCCGGCGACTGGCGGCCGGCACAAATAGCCCCTCGCCGTCCATGGTGCACATGAAAAAGCGCACCAATAGCTCCATCGACCAAGAACTCGTCGAATCCATCCGCAAGATGAGCACCAATGCCAGCAACCCGGTTGAAACTCCGCTTCCCTCGCTGCCGGAGAAGGCTGATATCCTCCCGCCGCCGGCGCTCTCGACGCCCGCGGAGATCCGCGTCAATGGCGAACCTGCGGATCTCCCCGGATCTGCAGCAATGCCACCACCACCACAGCGACCGAGTATACACATCGACACGGCCAGTCAGCCAGAGGCACAAGAGGTGAAACGCGAGTCTATCGACCAGTCGGCCAGTTTTTTTGATCCCAAGAACCGACAAGCTGTCCAGCTCCGCGAGCAGGTCGCTCTGGGCACACTCGACGAATTACTGGATTATGTCCTGGACCAAGGCGGCAGCGTCGGCATCCTGGATGCAACCAACAGCACGCTCGAGCGCCGCAAGGCAGTCATGGACCATATTCGCAAGCGAGCAGGCCCGGAATTGGGTGTGTTGTTCCTGGAAAGTCGCTGTCTGGACCCTGTATTGCTAGAATCGAATATGCGACTGAAACTGTCGGGACCAGACTACCGAACACAGGACCCCGTGAAAGCGCTGGAAGATTTCAAGAAGCGGGTTGCGCTGTACGAAAAGTCATATGTGCCACTGGGCGAGTACGAGGAGCAAAACGACATGGCGTATGTGCAGATGATCGACGTAGGGCGGAAGGTAGTCTCGCATCAAACGACCGGATTCTTGTCGTCGCAGGTGGTCTACTACTTACTCAACTTCAACCTGTCCCCGCGGCAAATCTGGATTACGCGCCACGGCGAGTCCGTGGACAACCAACTCGGCCGCATTGGAGGCGATTCCGACCTCAGCCAAAACGGAGAAAAATACGCGCAAGCACTGGCCAAATTCGTCGACTTCCAGCGCCAGAAATGGGAAGACTACCAAGCCCAAAAGGCCATGACAAGCCACTTCCCACCTCACCCAGGCGACAGCACGCCGCCCAACCCATCATACGGCGGCATCCAAAACAAACCGCGCAACTTTTGCGTCTGGTCGTCGATGATGAAACGCGCCATCCAAACGACCGCCCACTTCAACGACGACGACTACGACATCAAGCAAATGCGGATGCTCGACGAACTATACGCCGGGAAAATGGAGGGTCTCACCTACGACGAAATCAAAACACAGTACCCGGAAGAATACGAAAGCCGCCGCAAACAGAAACTGCAGTATCGCTACCCGGGGCCCGGCGGAGAAGGTTATCTGGACGTAATCAACCGGCTGAGGACAGTCATCGTCGAAGTCGAGCGCACCATCGACCATGTCTTGCTCGTGACGCATCGCTCGGTGGCGCGTGTGTTGCTGGCTTATTTCTTGGGTCTGGCGCGCGACGAAGTCGCCGGCTTGGATGTGCCCTTGGGCGTGCTGTATATGTTGGAGCCCAAGCCGTATGGGGTCGACTTCAAGGCGTATCGGTATAATCCGGACTCGAATTGGTTTGATTACATGCCGAATTTTGAGTTGCGTCAGGCGAAGCCTGCATAATCTTCCACCGATCGATCTGTCTATCTGTCCTTCGGCCAGGCCGTTTTTTTTTATGACTGCATTACAAGGAGTGAAACTAGTTAGTTGCTTAGCATAGTCTGATGGCGTTTGTATGCGTCTTGCGCTGTTCTTTTTTTTTTTTTTTTTTTTTTTTTTTTTTTTTTTTTTTTTTTTTGTTGTGCTTTTTTTTCTGTCCATATTTGACCGTATGTACATGTATGAATTACGCTGATGACTGATCTACACTATGTACCGTTATGAATAATACTTTGCTACTCTTGTTTTTTATATTTTTTTTTCTTTTTGACTATACTTTTTCTTTTTTTTTTTTTTAATCATATATATTATTTATTCTATTAATGCTATATACATCAGGATCCAGATCTAGACCCATCATTATGACCGTATACCTGATTGTGATTTGTGAAACCCCTCCACGCCTGCAAAACCGCACTTGACCTCCTCTTCTTCTTTTTCGTCCCCTCAGAACCAGACATACTCTCTCGTCTTTCAAATCTTTCATATGCAAGCGTGAACTCGTCGCGGCGCGCAATATGGTCCATGGGTATGCTGTTATCATCATGCTCATGTCCATGTCCATGCTCAAGCTCAAACTCATCGTCGGATTCGAGGATGCTGGTCTGACTCTCGAGGTCTGATCTGCTCATGTTGTAGGTTTTATTCTTTTTGTGGGCGTTATGTGTATGGCCGTGGCTATGACTATGGCGGGAGGTAGTGGCGCTGATAATCAGCGTCGATGAACCGCCTTCCTGGCAGTGCTGCTCTTTATTGCGCGCTATGGTAATTGAGGTGGAGTGTGTTGGGGATTTGAATTGTTGTTGTTGCTGTTTCCTTTGCCTTTTGGGATTGGAGTTGCTGTGGTTCTTGGAAGTGGAGTGGCTAGCTGTGTTTTGGCCCCGTCTGCAGACAAAGTTGTTGCATACCTCGCAGTATGTTGGCATGACGTAGGACGGCTCTGAGGAGGCGTTGTAGAAGACGCGGCGGCCAAAGATGGATTCGAGAAGGGGTGCAATGGTGGGTATGCAGGCGGCTATTATGATTGTGTTTCCTTCGATGCTGGGTTTGTTAGTTTTGATTTTTCAAAGTTGTTGGAGTGGTTTGGTGTACCTTGTCCAGAGGAAGACGCTGAAGGAGTTATCTGTGTACGGTCAATTTGTCTGGTATAGGGCATAAGAGAGGAGAGATGGCGGTACATGTAGAATCAGGCCCGGAGTCCAGACCGGTAAGGCGGGTTGTCTTGTAGATTGAGATTGCGCATGCACTTGGTTTATCAGTAAGGAAAGAAGAGTCTCCAAAGACTGAAAGAAGAGAGATACATACAACACGCCCATGCCCAGGATCATGCTCAGGCCTATCTTCTTCTTCCGGTTCATCTGCAACTTCCACAGCACCGTAGCCGGATACACAGCCAGGAAGAGATCGACCAGTGCAGAGAGCGCTGTATCGTCAGCATTATATTCCAAGCATAGGAAGAGCAAAAAGAAGAAGAAGAAGAAGCATACCCCCTGTCACAATCGAATAATCGGCCAATACGTCCGCACTCCAACACCGCGTGCCAACCTGTTCACGCAGCGCCGGCACCCACAGCGCCCTAGTCGGCGCACACTGCGCAAACAATATAATCACACAGCCAAAATTGAGCAGCACAACGGCACCCACAAAGATCCATAGCCCCAGCGCCGTGCGCGGAGAAGGGTTCAAGATGCGGATCAGCAGCGCTGTCACGCCCAGTTTCGGGACTGTGAATGATAGGATGCCCGGCGCGAAGGACGCGGTGCTGTAGAGGAGTGCTCTTTCGGTTTGTTGGGTGTTGAGTGTGTCGGCGTGCGCACCCATGCCCCAGTAGATCGATGTCGACACGAGGGCGGCGAAGAGGTAGGCGCATATCTGTCCATCCACACACACACACACACGTAAATAGCAGTTCGTAATTGATCCAAGGGTGTAACATACCAGGGATACACCCGTGATATAATCATCCAGTCCGATCTTGTGCACGATGCGCAGCCGCGTGTACAGTCTGGCGGCCATGAACAGGCTGCTGACGGCCACAAAGGTCCATATCAAGGCCTCGGTGACGGGCCGAGAGACCTCCTCGTGGAGCATCGATTGATCACTGATCCGTCTGACTGGTCATGTCATGCACGATCGAGGAGAAGATAGGGACATGGAGAGACTAATATAGCCAACTCCCATCGTCAAAAAGCAGCGTGCTCAGACCGTCAATTAAGGTTGATAGTGTGTGGAGTTTTAAAAACTGGCACTTGCAGATCGGCTCGTTGGATGCAAAAACCGCAGTTGAGAGATTGTCGCTTCTTAGTGCCTATTACTACTCACTGTCAGTGTGTCCTCCATATTATCTTCATTCAGTCATTCACTCATCCGGTTTTTTTTTTTTTTTTTTTCGGACTTCCTGTCTGGATTGAAGAATTAATCCCGACTGTCCCCAAATTAAGCTCAACTATAACCCTTAGTGCGTGCATAGCGCGAGTTTATTCCGTTTGGTAACCAATACCGCTGTGCTAAGGCTGGTCAGGGGCAGGCGTTCGCTAGAGTAGGTTGGAGACTGTACGGGTCATGAAGTGTGGTAGGTAAATTGGCTTTGATCTAGTTCGATTGACTTACCCAGCTGGGTATGTACTCGGTTCAGCTTGATCCTGAATATTCACATTTCAATTCTATGTCAAATGTATAGTAACAGCATATACTAGATACATCTCGCACCGTAACATACAATGTACGAACTCGTGTCTGATCACTGCTGCACCGCAAAGACAGACCCTATCGTGGCCGTTGTGTTGGCCAGGATATCAGAAACCCCGTTTCCACGCGCCTCGTTCAACGCCGCTCGGTACTGTGAAACGTCAGTCTGTCAGTAATCTTGCCCTACTGCTCCATCATCCGAGTAGACTCACCTTGAACCCAAAGTTCAGCACAAGCGCAGCCGCAAGCCCAAAACAAACAACAAGCGGCCCGAACAAGTTGTCCAGATCTTTGCCGCTGCGCTCCCGGATCAGTCGCGCTCGCTTCTCGTACATGTACCACCCCCAGATAGACGCGAAAACCGCAAAAGCCGTGTAGATAATAGCCAGTGCCTGCGCGACGGTGTTGTTGATGTCTGCCGCGTTGTATAACGCTAGTGATAACGATGCTAGTAGGATGCTGACATGTTGCCACTTGATGAAGGTGCGTTGGTTGGCGAGCCATACCTTGGACTCAACACGCACTGGCCCGGTGTCCTTAATCCAAACCTCGGGCGCTGAAACGCCGGGCGGCAGAGCAGCAGTGCCGCGATGTGCCTGTGCATATCGAGACTTGGAGAATGACGGGAACAGGTTCTCCAGATAAGATGAGCTTGTTGCTCCTTCGTCTCTAGTCTCGGCTTCGGGCCCACGCTCAGCAGCAGGTTGAGATGTGATCGCATCAGCCGCTGGAGATGGTTTCATTGCCTGAATGCTTTCTCTAGTAACACTCGGTCTTGGCGTGCGCTCAATGACAGGTGAAGTGCCAGTCAACATCGATGAGCGTCCCGGGGATCCCCTTCCGGCGCCCATCATCGACTGCAGAGGGCTAGATTTCGAACCCAAAAAGCTTCCCACAACCAAGTCCTCCTCGGCACGCTGAGCCAGTCGCTCCTGTTCGTGCTGGAACGCCGTCTGCGGGTCTTGCCGGATGTCGTTCTCTAATTCTCCAAGCCAGAAGGGGAGCGTGTTGATATTGTCCTCAAACAACTGCGCCACTCCATGCACGAATTTGGAGAATCGCGGTGCCTCTTTGACGAGATGCGAGACCATGAGATCATTCAACCACTCAACATTACGAGCGCTATTGCGCAACTTGATCTCCAGCAAAGCATGAGGGAACCGCACAATCTCGCCCTTGTGGATGGAGCTGAAAGGATATTCCATGGCCAATTCGTCAATGTCCCTCCGGTGCCAGTCTTCCGGATCACGACAAGGCCGCTCTGGGTCCAAAGCGTCCTCTCGGATCAGGGCAAGGTTGGTGTCAAGCGAAATACGAATGCGATCATCTCCAGGAATTTGGAACGCAGTTCTGGTATAATTTGCCCGAAGCATGGGCTGCAGATCTTTTTCTTTGATAAACGTCTGCAGCTCTTCTACCTCCGTTTTCAGTGCTTCTGCTGCCTGCGATCCTCCCTGTGCTCTACCTTCCAACCGAGTAACCTTTTTCTCGAACTTATACTCGCCCCGGAGGAATTCCTGGACGTGCTTCGCCTTGAGCTGTACTCGTGTTTCACGGCTGCAATTGTCCTCCAACGCTGTTTTCTTTTCCAGGAATATGGCTGGAGACTCGTTCAGGTCTCCCGACCAACGAAGTCGCAGAGACTCAGCTTCTGACGCACGCGTGACCTTTTGGTTGTATAGATCAAATGATGAGTTATCGAAATATAACGATGTTATCGTTGGATCCCGCTGTGAGACATCCAACTCTTTAGATGTCGTTGGGTTATACAGCAGAACAGGCAGTCGACGCAGAATGTGCGTTTTGACCTCGACAACATTGTCCGTGTGCACCCAGAATTTGTAAGATACGTAAGCATCGTGGATCGGTCGTGTCTCCGCACCGGCTTCTTGGTCGTCAGGAAGTCCAATGCCAAGCAGCTGGCGGGTGAAAGTGTACATCGCGGACAACCGATGCAAAAGAGGGGAGTAATCCTCAGAATTGAACGACAGCTCAGAAAGCCGCACTTGAAGCAGTGGCCGGATTCGGTAGCGCGCACCACGCTTACGGTCGTGTTTCTTAGCCGCCTTGAGAAAACCGGAGAAGTTGATGCGGCTGTATTTCTCTAGCTCGCTGACCTCCTTGGTGATGTTGTCGAGTTCCACAACCACCTCCTCGGCAATCTGCTTCCACTTTTTGTCTTCACTTGCATCATGCTCTGTGCCATCGTCAACAGGCCTCTTGGCAAGAGGCATCAGCTTCGCTTCGCAAGCATTGGTGCGCTCGCGCAACTGCTGGGATGTCTCAGATTGGAAGGCATTGACCTTGTCCAATTGGACATTGATCAGCTCCTGCACGAATGATTCCTCATCTATTTCGGTCCATGGCTGGGTTTCAGAGTCGCTGTCGTCGCCCGCGAGATCACGCTCGCGCAGAAGGCTCTTGAGCTTTGCATAGTCGATGTATTTCCCTTCCCATGGAGGATATATAGAAGCTTTCAGGGTCTTTCCGAAACGCATCTCCAAAGCTATCCCTCTGCACGGGCAAGATCGTTAAAAGCTACTTGTTAAAGCAATCCGTCCGATGCAGCTCACCAATTCCAATTACAGTCAGGACATGCAGCAGAAGGAGCATAGAGACAAGATATTTTCATCGCTGAGCTGGAGAAAAGGTCCGCATCGGTTTCATCATCACAGGAGGGGCACGTGCTGTCATCGGACAAGTTTTATGGGCGGCAGCAATGTGGCTGCTCTGATTGGCTGGTTGCCACCTGCGGGTCGCCAGAGCAAACAGAACAAACAGCTGCTGTATCAGCCTCAGCAAGTGTCTCTCTCTCTACCTCTACTGCTATCAACATCTTATTCCCGGCTTCTGTTAGGCTGAGATTTGGGCTATTATTATTGTCAATTTATAAGCTTATAGATTTTGTTGCTGAAAGCGTCCTGCTACCGACTTACCACATGCAAACTGCACAAACTTTCCATCCTCTGAATATAGATACTATGGCCGCGACAGCCGCAGAATCAACACCGTTAATAGAAGCGTTCCACCAAGCCCTCCTCAGCAGATACCACAACCCCTGCTCATATGTGTCGAATCCTCCAGAGTGTAAGAGACGTGCCTCAGTAGCTGTCATATTTCGAGTTCGACCCGAATACCATCACCTGCCACAATCGCCCGCTATTGTGACCGATAAATCTGCTTCCGCATCTCAGCAATTGGAGGAGTTCTTTGCCCAGGACTGGGTGCAACACGGCGATCCAGAACTGTTGTTTATCAAAAGAGCTTCAAGAGTCGGTGACCGGTGGACCGGTCATGTCGCGCTCCCTGGCGGAAAGCGAGACCCGGAGGATGCGGATGACAAGGCAACGGCAGTCAGAGAAGCCTGGGAGGAGATTGGCTTGGATCTGACTACAGAGAACCTGATTTTTGTCGGCAACCTACCCGAGCGAGTGGTGACGACTTCATTTGGCAGCGTTCCGTGAGTGTTCTCTAACCATATCTGCACTACACTACAGAAAGCTAATAGCACGGCCAGTTTGATGGTGCTTTGTCCGTTTATCTTCCTTCTAACTTCGAGTAATACACCAGCGCTCACGCTTCAGCCAACCGAGGTGGCTTCAACTCATTGGGTTTCATTAAGAGCTTTGTTGTCGCCATCCATGCGCTCCGTTGAACACGTTAATGTCTCAGATCGCTACGCCAAACAAAACATGTTGATCAGATTGGGCGGATCGCGCTGGATGACCGGAATGATGGAATTCTCAGCTCTGAGTCTGCTTCCCACGGAGAGCTTGTACTGCAGTTCTGTGCCCGGTTTTCTACCGGAATCTTCTACTCATCAAAAAACGATTTTTCAACGATTGAACCCCTGGGCAGCCCGCGGAAGACAGCAACTAGGCCCTTATGGAGACAAAAGTCGACAATTGCTGCTCTGGGGTCTGACGTTGGGTATCATGGCCGATTTCTTGGATATGCTCCCGCCTTACAACGCGGTAGAGCTTTGGCGACCCCCGACATTCACTGCACCTGACCTGCGCATCCTCGTGTCTCTTTTCACGTATTCTATCCGCAAGAGGAATGAAACAAAGGTCAAGGCGGCGAGACGACCTAGTCAAACTGCGGTGGACGACTCGACGATGGCGCTGTCTGTCGACGAGCATGCCAGTCGTGATCATGTTAGTCATCGTGGTGATTCAGCAGATGACGGTCATCAATATGCAACTGCCATCTTATTACAGGGCTACTATGACCGCTTGAGACTGTCGATAGCAGTATTTACGGCGTGGAGGCTGGCGCTGGGGTCAGCTGGAGTATATTATGCGTGGAAGATGCTCCGACGGCGTTGACTATAAGCGCTTGCCATAGAAACAATAGAGGAGGCGATATTTTCAGTCAGTATATAGTAAGCACAGATAAATACTATATAGTAGAACGACGCTAACCTGTTCAGTCAGGGGAGTTGTGATTGGCCCGTTGCAGACATAGCTACTAGCCAGCCGCTGATTGGCCGACACAGCTTGATGTACCCCACGCTCCAGCTATCAACATCGATTGCTTTTCGTCTATGCGCTTCCTTCTTTCTCTCTCTTCTCCGCGCTGTTTTTGCAACGAAGATAATCCAATCGGTCATATTATCGAACATCCCATTCTCTGCTCGGATTAACCTGTCCATCCGCATCCAGAAACTTCCACAAAATCGACATCCAAAATGGTCGCGACGCAAAAGCTCTATCCTCGCGGTACCGTGAAGCGCATTGTCAAAGCACACGCCGGGCGCAATATCAGCAAGAATGCCGATGTTTTGGTTTGTTGCCCTCTTATTGGAAAGCGGAAAGAGACTGACTGACTTGCTCAGATCTTCCTGGACTACATGCTGTTTATGCAAGAGTATGTGCCGTCCACGATTCACCTGTTGTACCCCCCGCGCCCCTTCGACACAGCTAACGAGGTTGTACTCTACCAGGCTTATGCGCGAAGCATCTATTCGGTCACGAAAATCGGGCGAAAAGGGTATATCTGCAAGGAGTATTCGCAGGGTGACTGAGGTGCGTTCATACATTCGATACATTGCTTTATTGTATGTGTTGAGCATTGGCTTATGGTTAATGTTATGCATGTAGACAACGTTGCGCAAGATGAGAGGATAGTCGTCTTCTTCTTTTCTTTCGAGGCATGGGTTTGGGCGTTTGGTGATATAGTGTGTATAGGATTGGGCATTTGGATTGGCATTGGGCTGGGCTGGCTGGGTATAAGGCATACGGAGCGGTGTTTGGCGTTGTGAAATGGTATTTTCTCAGTCCCAATCATCTATTCTCGTAGGGAATGATATGATGTGTATAGAGTGCTTGTAGCTATTCCCTTCGATCATCTTCTACCGCAGTCCACGATTTGATAGAAAATCTCAGATGTTTGCTGGATTTTGATTATCTTAGGGGTAGTGCCTGAGCACTGCCAAATGTAACCAAATTATTATTTATATCTGTCAGCCTGATATTCACAGCCTTGTGCTTCTGGTTCATGCAGCTGCGGCGGCCTGAGTCAGCCAGCCAAGAGCGGAGACACAAACAAGCTTGGAGAAATCCGATCGCCTTCCATCGACTTCTTCTCCTCTTGTCACACCAAACAAACCCATTTCCTTGCACAAATTCTCCTTGCTTGTACCATTCTCCCTTTCAAGCTTCACTCCAACCTTCGTGAAAAGAAGAATCAAGAGAAATTCTCTTTGCCCTTCCACTCCTGCCAGTAAATCAGTCTGACACACGACACACACACAGTCACCTTCTCCACACATTCGTCACCATGTCTTCTGCAATCAACAACAACCTCCCTCCACAGTCCGACTCCTCCAAGGCGTCTTCGAAGAAGAAGCGAGGGAAGAACGAGGCTTCTGTGAATGGCTCTGTTTCCACTCCCACGCCATCAAACCCTGACCTCGACACTGTCAAACCCGAGTCAGTTGTCAACGGCGTCAACGGCGTGACCGACGATCTGGAGTCTAGCTTCTTCAAGGACCTTCACCGGTAAGCATGTCGTTGCTGGCCAGTCAAATATCATATTTTGTTGCCATGAAAAGATAACTAATGCTGTTCTTTCATTTCATAGAAACTTACGAAACGCCACAAAGAAACTCGTAAGCGACTCATTCTACACATTGTTCTGCAACGAAAGCCACAGCTAACCATATTATTGCAGAATGCCACAGCCAAGGTCGATAGCATCATTGCAGAATACCCTGGAAAATCACTTGACCTGCTCGTCGCAGAGAAGAAAATCAATGCGGACCAGCGAGCCCAGGTTCTGAAGAAGCCCGCCCTGCAAGCGCAGGTCGCACAAATCGAGGAGCAAATCAATCAATACAAGCAATTCGCTGCACACTACGAGGAGCGCCTTGTCAGCCAGAAGACTGCACTGGAAAAGACACATAAAGAGGAGCTTGAAGCCGCTCGTGAGAACGCTGTGGCTGAGTTAAAGGGATCTCAGGACAAGACTGTTCGTGAGCAGTTGCTGATACTCAGTCAATTTCTGCGTGCCGCGGCATCTTTCAGACGTGCGGGTGACGGGGCGGCTGTTGACAGTCAAGCTTTCGAAGGCGTGCTGCTTCAGGTCTACGGTGGTAATCAGGATGCCGTCGAGTCTATGCTTAAGCTTATCGGTGGATCTGAGGAGAAAGTCACTGGAATTGACGGTCAGGTCTTGGACGCGACATATGCTAGAGTGAAAGAGCTCTCCGAGGAGCAAGCCCCTCCGGCTCCAGTCGAAGAGCCATCGGCCGCTGAAACCGACCCAACCATTGCTAATGCAGGCCTTACTGAGCTCCAAGACGCACCAGTGTCCGCTACAGCAGATGCTAGCACTTTTGGTTCTGAAGGTCAACCCGTTCAGGCTACAGAGCCAGTTCTCGCCCCAACACAGACTGCTGCTGGAGACGGGGCAAACTCATTGGCGGCCAGTTGGGAACCCCAAACCTCTGGGTCTCTAGCCGCTTCTGGCGACGAATGGGTTGAAGTTCCAAGTAACCCTACCGAAGGCGAGTCCCCATCGACAACTGCCGCAGCTCAGCCCTCTACCAGCTGGGCCGAGGATGTCCCTACCGGTGCTGCTCCCACTGAAAGGGGCGACGGTTTTGAACAGGTAGTTCATCACCAGCGACAGAACAGTGTTCGTGGCGGTGGACGAGGTGGACGCGGACGCGGCCGGGGCGATGGATCCCGTGGTCGTGGTGGACGAGGCGAATTCCGAGGTCGTGGCCGTGGACGCGGCGAATTTAAAGGCGGACGTGGCCGTGGTGGACTTGGTGGTGGCCCTCAAGTCGCCCGCCGCGAAGCTGTTGCAACTAACTAAGATGCACGCGTCTATCTCGCATGGATGTGTTTGAATCAACCCAAACTACCCATTGCACAGTTTCATGGTCTGAACGCTCCGTCGAGTCCTTGCATGACACCCTTCCACAACATGGGCGGCGATATATCAACGATTTTTCTTCCTTTTTCTTCCTCATCAAGCCATTCGACTCTAAATTTTTTAACTTTCTTCTTGTATGTCATTTTATCTGATATCTCATGGGATGCTAGGCGTTGATACGGTTGATGCATGGGACAAAAAATCTTCTTTTTCTTTTCATTTCTGTAAAAAGGGGAGTTGATCAAGGTTGGATTGGTCCTATTTTGTCATCGTACGGTCAGGCTGGCAACGGGAAAAAAAAAGTTCATTATATTTTGTCATTAAGCGTTGCATATGTTTTCATTTTTTCGTTGCTTTTTTTTTCTAATGTTGCCCATGACGATTGGTTCCTGTATCTCTTTTATTTATCTATACCTAAACAAATCTCACAAGGTAGTCGGTGGTTGGATGTGAAGGAAGGTCGAAGAATTTATCTGTATTACCTTATAACATATTTTCTGGCAGGCAGGCAGACAGAATGAGTGGTGGTTTTAGGGCAGTTTAAAACTACTTCCAAGGCGGAGTGTTCTGATATAAATCGTGTGATGAATGAGATGCATCTAAGCGAGGCTGACAGCACCGTGTAACCAAAAATACCTAGATGATGACAACATCTCTCATATTCTTCCAAGAACATAGCATAGAAACATGGCGCTGCACAACGTCCATCCCTCCGAAATAAGTTTCAAGGAACAACTGTTCGAGCCCCAATTCTCTGCCATTTTTCTCATTACCATGCGAAACCAAACCTGCGTTATGAAAGTTGTAAGCACATATCCCGTTCGTGCCATGTACTCAGTCAGGTAGCTAATGTGCGTAGCATCATGGGAGAGGTCCTCCGCGATACTACGAGCCTCAAGACCGCGAGCTAGACATTCATGTTCTCGAATCAACGGCTTACCACCGCCTGAAAGACCGAGGGCTATGTAATCGTGGCATTGTGCCCAATTTTCTGGGCGTTATGAGGAAGTTTGATCCAGCGCTTTGCTCTCCTCCTCATTATCTTAAAAAGTTCATGGAGGACGAATATCCTCCGAGCGCAATTTTCTTGGAATATATCCCAAATCTGGAAATGATTCTGCCCGAGAACTTACTGAAAAGCGCATGGATAAATTTATAGATGGGATACGCCAGATTCATAAGGCGCTTGTTGTGCATGGTGACCCGAAACCGAGGAATATGATGGTTGTCAGGGACGATGAGGCGGATCGAGTGGTTTGGTTGGATTTTGATCGGGCTGAGACGTATGATGAGGATAGGCTCACGGATGAAGAAATGCAGCTGATGGGCGAGGAAGAGGAGACAATGGTGGGTTTCAAGGAGTTGCTGGTAAGGAACTACCTACCTACATGCTCATGGTTTATGTGCTTCAGGTTGGCTGATGTTGATGGTTTTCAGAGAATCGACCATTCCAAGGGGAAGCTTGAGGAAGCGTACATACTCTACTGCAATTGAGTGTATGAGAGTTGCTATTCTTTGTAGCTCTCTATTCCATAGATATTCTAAATAATGCCTTGCTCTGTCAGATTCTTATAGAACGACGCGGTTATGATTGGCTGTTAAAAATAGCCTTGCATTATGTAATACGCACCTGGATGTGAATACGCCCGCCTTACTAAGCGCTGACGTAGGAGGTTTAAGTTAAACAGTGACTGTTGATGTTGATGACACGCCAGCTGTTCTAACCTGAGACACCGCTCTCGTTCCTTCGTTTCTTCATTCTTTCTCATTCTGGTTTGAGCTATGCTGACTATCGCTAAATTCCTTGGCAACTCGGACATTGTAATTTGATTCAGTCGGTTTGTAGTCGGCCGGGGACGGGCATGACATATTTTAACCAACGGATGTTGAACTTTTATGCGACAGTCAATGCGAATACTCAAATTCAAAATCGAATCTCTTTGAAAAAGTTCCGACGAAGCAAGGTCGACACCATGGCAGTCAATCAGACACAGAGAAGAAAAGTTCTTCGCGTGATCTTCATATCCCTATTATTAGATCTCGTGCGTTTCCCTCTGTTCTTGACCTTGGAATATCACGTTCTCATGACTACAACTCCAGATCTCATTCACATTCATCCTCCCCCTCTTCCCCTCTCTCCTCAACTTCTACCTCCAACAAGACCCTTCCCCCTCCTCGCTCCTGAACCGCATATTCCACTACCTCAACGCCTACAAAAACTCATTCTCCAAACCGATTGATTCGCGGTACGACATTGTCCTCCTCGGCGGTGCTCTGGGATCCCTCTTCTCGCTCCTCCAAGCCATCGCCGCGCCTGTAATAGGGCATCTCTCCGACCGACATGGCCGGCGCACGGCACTGCTTTGGTCCATGTTCGGCAATCTGGTGAGCGTCACGTTATGGGTTGCCGCAACCGATTTCAAGACGTTTCTCGCTAGCCGTATCGTGGGCGGATTGAGTGAGGGGAATGTGCAGATGGCGAATGCGATTGCGACGGATATCAGTGATGAGAGTCAGCGCGGCTCGACTATGGCCATGGTGGGCGCTTGTTTCAGTATTGCGTTTACGTTTGGGCCGGCATTGGGTGCGGCGCTTGCTAATGTGAAGGTTATTGCGGCTAATCCGTTTGCGACTGCGGCGGGGGTTTCGTTGTTGTTGATTGTCCTGGAGACGGGTTATTTGTATGTGAGTTTGCCGGAGACGCATCCTAGACTTGTTGCCGCGGAGGTGAAGGATGGCATAAAGGGGACGAAGGGTGCAGTTGGTGGTGGTGGTGGTGGTGGCACGACGGCGACGAGTGACAAGAAGGTGAAGAGAAAGGACAAGATATCCCACACCAACAACCCCTCAGTCCTTAATCTGATTCATTTACTATTTCTTCTGCCCTTTTCCGGCATGGAATTCTCCCTCCCGTTCCTCACGGCTACTTTGATATCAGCGTCAGAAGACAGCAACCCATCCGCCGTCAACGGGCGAATACTCGGTCTAATCGGACTCATCGCGTCCCTCCTACAGGGAACGATGGTGCGTCGACTGCCGCCACTGCTAACAGTGCGTATTGGCGTTGTTGCATGCGCCATCGCGTTTTTTCTTTTGGCCAATATCAGCTCGATCACGGGCTTGCAGGTTGCTGCTTGTTTCCTGGCGGTTACGAGCGCGACGGTGGTGACAGGGCTGAATAGTTTGGGCAGTCTTGAGGCTGGCGCGGAGGAGCGTGGGATTGTCTTGGGCAGGTTGAGGAGTTGGGGCCAGGTTGGGAGGGCGTTGGGTCCTGTGGGATTCTGCTCGTTCTTTTGGTGGGTAGGTAGGGAAATTGCGTATACTGCTGGCGGTGTCGTGATGGTTGGTGTCTGTGGGATTGTGTTTGTGTTCTTGAGTGAGCCTAGGCGATAGTCTTCTTCTGTGGATATGAAGAAAAGAAAGGGAAAAAAAGGTAATGGACGAATATTAGGTATGTATTCAAGGGTATAAAATAAACAAGCAGGCGAAGAGAGGAGAGGAGACAAGAATAGAAAGTAGGACTATACAACTATGATACATACATTCATCTCATCTCGCGAACAATCCGTGCAAGAGAAATTAACTCCCAGTCCCAATATGCTGGCTAGAAGACGTCTTCCTCAAAGCCAAAGCCGTCCGTCGATCATAATGCTGAGCATGAGCATAGACATGATGAGCCTGAGCAGCCAGCGCAGGCTGCTCCGTCAGCGTCTCCCTGGCCTTGCCCAACAACCAATCCGTCAATGTGACAAATTTCGACGTCCGGTCCCATCCATTCGCCTGATCGGCATGCTCAATGGTGTGGCCTGCGATACGGCCCTGCTCGTCAAATGCGAAGATAAAGAGACCCTCAAAATGCCCTTCCTTGCCGGGGGAGAAGATGGGCGTATCGCCGCCCAGGAGGGTGCTGAAACTTTTGCTTTTGGTGGTGCTTGGTTGGGTATGGTTGTTATTTGATGTGGAAAGTATGTTATTGGTGGTGGTGGTGGTGTTATTATTATTGCTGTCTCCCCGCGGCTCCGTCCTCCACCGGACAACTAATCTCTCCTCACCACAGTCGGCAGAATGCTCGCATCCAAGCACAGAGTCCGCGCGGACCATGCGCTCACTCAGGATTTGAAGTTTGACATCTCCTAGTAGCGGCAAGCTGCTCCATGCAACGGGCACAGTCCACAGTGCTGCACGGTAGAGCACTCGACCTTTGACGTTGGGCAGATGCGGGTGTGTCGAGGGGAATAGATGGAGCGTTATTTGAGGCGAAAGAAGGTCAGTTGGCAGTGGGTTGATTAGGATGGTTGGCAGGAGTGGCGAGAGTTTCCTTAAAGCTATGAACTTGTTTAGCAAGCCATTTTTGTTTTAGTAGAGAAAGAGAGAGAGAGAGAGTTAAATACTCTGTCCTAACTTCAAAACCCGCTCATCCGGCGGCTTGTGATCGGGACCACCACCGCCAATTATTCCCGGTTCTGAACCTCCGAACCCTTTATTGAAGACCCTTTCATTGCTGTCTTTATTGCTGATCCTCGATGGAGACGGCGCCACACGAGAAAAGAAAACAGTGTCTAATTCGCGATGATGCGATTCGTGCAAGCGCGCAAGCGGTTTTCGTGTGACTTGACTGAACCATCGGCCAGGGCGAGGACTAGTATAGCATCGGCATGCACCTGCACCTGCACCCAATGCTGGGTATATCGTCGAAGAGTAAGGAGCTGCACAGGATGTAGCTCGTGCTCGACTGGCAAATGTAGCTGTAGGCTTCGACATTACGATACCCTCTCTTCTCGAGGCGGACACAGGCAAAGAAAGCTCGGATGAAAGAAAATGTGTATTTGTGTCGATTTATTGAACTATTCGCCTTCGAACTCTGCAATTCATGGCGTGGATATCGATGGCGATACTGCCTTTCTATGTCGAACAGGGGGGGTTTATTTGCTGCATGGCCAGCAGGCAAAGCCGACAAAGTAAGAAAGCCCGCCGGAAGATGACGTTGAAATGTTTTGGCGGCCCCGCTTTGACTTCTACAGCTGGCAGCCAATCAGCGACACCAATTACTACGCCGGAACTATACAAATAATTAATACAGACTCGTTTTGGGTATCTAAACAAACGCTATCTAAACAACTACATAGGCACAGGGTAGATTTAATCAAGACTATCCCTCGGCCCACCCCGTCCCATGAACCGACTAAACCTGCCCTGACTCTGTCGGGGACGTCCGCTGTGTGCACGTTCCATAATCGAAGCTCGCAAGTCATCATCATCCTCATCATCCATGGTAATGGCACTCGTGTCGAAAACGTCTGCGTCTGAGTCAATGCCGCCTCCGCTCCAGCGCTGCAAAAAGCGTCGCTGTGCTTCTGTCTCGCGGGTTCGTCGTGTGGTCGTTGACGGTGGGGGCGGTAGTGTTGGTTGACGGCGACGACTACTATCAAGTTGGTATTGATGTTGCCGGCGTCGTCCGGACGTTGCTGTATTGGTGTTGGCGCTCCCTGGTGTTTGGGTGTTGGCTGTGATGCCGACATCGACCACTCCTCCGCGAATATGCTCTGCATATGGATCGTGTGTGTCGTCGTCATCATCGTCATCCAAGTCCGAGTCATCATCGGAATCTGTATGTTGCCATTCTCCCTCGTCTTGTTCCTCATCCATATCTTCATCTTCCAAATCCCCTGCTTCCGGGATATCCTCGTCCAAATCGCGTATCATTATGCCCCCACCCGAGCCATCATTATCATATCCATGTTCATCTTCTTCATCAAACTGATCCTCATCCTCATTTTGATCATCGTCGTCATCGTCGTCATCCTCCGGAAACCCTTCCGGTATATCATCATCTAAATCCCGTTCCATAAGCTCTTCATCCACATCCCCATCCTCCTCATATCCCTCCTCACCCTCCTCAACCAGACCCTCCTCCTCATCGTCATCATCATCCCCAAAACCATCATCCGCCTCAGGAATATCATCATCCAGATCGCGCTCAAGTTCATCCGCATCAATTCCATCCCCACCACCGCCATCCCTCGTATCACCGTCCCCGACTCCCATCTGCTGCTGTTGCAATGACGGGTCCCCAAACGCATCCATATTATCCCCGGCCATGGCGCCCGCCGCCGCAGCCATAGCAGCAACATTCAATTCCTGCGTTGCCGCGGCAAGACCCTCTTCCCGTTCCGCCTCTTCTTCTCTCATTCCCAGCATTGTCTTGGGACACCCCGCGGGCTTTATCCAGGCGCAGCCAAAGGAGGCAATGTTTTCTTTTCGGAGGCGCAACGCCCGTTCTTCAAGTTGTAATAACGCCAGACTATCGGACGGGGTGGCCGAGGAGAGAAGGGCGCGGGTTGATGGTGTGTATTGCTGTTGTTGGCCGCCATTGTGACTGTGGCCATGTGAGTGGAGGCTATTACTGCCGTTGTGTAGTTGGCGTCGATCTGCGCTGTTGTTGTTGTTGCTGCTGCCTCCTATTCTAGAGGGAGAGCGGTAGGAGCCGAACCAGAGTTCGTGTGACTGTTTTGCTGATTAGCTTGTTTAGTGTCATGCTTAGAAAAGGGAAAGGGACTTACATCGCGAGGCGCGACGAGAGGGAGAGACAACATTGTGAAATTCTTTCCAATTGTATTATACAGTCTTTGAAGAAATCACTGATTCACTCCGGAGTAAACAAACAGACCGAACCAAACGATCTTTTTAGTCAATATATATCAAGGCTGCGGTCCCTGTTATAGTAGAAATATTAGAGTTACTTTCGTCTGTCGTAATCGATAAGGTACTTTCATGCAATGCACAATTACCCCTGTTGTTGACGTTTCTTGTGATGGTCGGCGTCATATTGTCGCGATAAGCCGAGGATCTGTTTCTGTTTTGCCGCTTTACTCGTACAGGCTAGTTAGTCGTAGGCGGTCAGTGAGCGTTCATCATCGCGTGGCCGTCTCTCTTCTTCCTTTTTGAATGTTTTCATAGTGGATAAATGTCTGGTGTTTGTTGACTGGAACATTGTGATTTACTAACGAACTGTATACATAGACAACTTATCTATCGTCGCACAGAGTACGCCAGTTACTTGAGCTGGCTACGAAGCTAATGCGTCGCACTGCTACACCGCCCTGATTCTGCCAGTCGAATATTAATCCACGTGATATTATTGGTCGGTCTACTTGCTTGCTATTGTCCAGGAGGCGGTATGGAATAATTTGATAATTACTTTATATAGAGCTAGAGCTACAACCAACCATAACTTTTCTGTAAAGTACACTAATCTGTAAATTTTTGAGCAAGGGAAAAATACGCGAAGCGTCCCTATGTTAATTATTACCTAGTTTCAGTTGACATGTGGGCTGCCCTCTCCCTCTTCCCTCGAAGTCTCTCGAGTGCGACCAACCTCCGATTTTCGCAACCCTAGCCTTCAGGCATCCATCTGCTCCGTACCTAGGTCAAGAAACGATTTGCAGCTGTACAGCATGTACGGCGCTCGCAGGGAAAAAAAATTATTTCGTCTTCCGACATCTCCCGACGCAGAAGTCAGGCCGTCCGGTGAGCTCAAAACAGTGTTAGCGGCAAGAGCGGACGGATCGGAATGATTCGGAGAGTGTGCGACTCGCTGCCAAGCAATGCCGGAACTACGGAGGAAAGAGTCGTTCGTCTACGAATATCATGTGACGAGATTGAATGGGTATTAGATACATAGCTAAGAAAACTAAGTATATTTCCAATTTCGTTATATAGGCGATTGATTGTAACTGACTGTCTAGTTTTGTGGTTATGGAACAAATGGACGTTTGCCCTGGTTCCGTCGGAAGTATAGGGATGGAGCGGAAGCTTGTTCAGCACGATTGCGTGGCCATCGACAGCGACTTATGTCTTAGTCGAGTATGCAGATGGCTCTAGCAGCAGTACCAGTCATACATACTACCTGGCCATACTCCGGTAACATGTACGGAGGAGTACAACTGATATAACAAAACCACAAGGTGGGGAGCCCGGACTTAGGGGGTCTGTCCGACGGCACGGTGGTATAGAAAGTTAGAAACAGTACGGAGTAGAAGTAAGAGAAGAGGGGCAGCCGATTTTACACACAGTCGCATAGTGACATATATACGATAAGCATGCCGTGACCGTTCCAATTTGATAATTATATTATTTCTTAGTGCCCCGGGGAGTTGAAACATGCAGCGAGCCCAGCCAATAGCGCTTGCGGCTTCTCATTGCGGCTCCCGCCCCGACATCGGCTAGCTGGGGCGCGGCATCACGTGCATGTAGTCTAGAGTATTCTTGGCGTGGCGCTTTCCAGATCTATACATTAGTCCCAGGGAGCAGCAGGTCGATATTCCGCCTCGAATGTATACAGAAAAATCCTTGCAGGTGGCATGGCTGTTGTTGGAGGAAACATTGTCCTCGCAGCATGGCACTTGCATCATGCTGTGGGCACAGGCGCAGACATAAAAAAGTAATTAGTTTCAAAAATAAACCTGCAGCACAGCGTGGGGTACAGCTTATGCCGGGGTGTGTACGTTAGATTTGTATGGATCTTCGGGTCAGTGCATCGGTTAGCTGCATGCACGTCCCTTTTTGTTCATAGGTATTCCGAATACGCAGTTGAGATCTATTCGCTGGGAAACGCATACTGTATTGAGTAATATTACGAGGAACTAGTGCGGTATTGTATTAACGACCGTGATTGGTCCCAGCTGGAACGTAGGGCTCGTTGCCCGAAGCGGGAGGAATTTCAGAACTCCAAAAGCTCGGCATCTGCAAGCGGCCTGCCTAGGACGCACTGCTACTGAGTTGTATCAAAATCAAAAGGTTGTTTTTTTACTATGAATCAGTTTTTCGGACACTGTCGATCTCGAGTAGTCGGATACTCTAGGTGAGAGCAAGAGTAGCAGAGCGGGGTAGTTGCATGCTCGCGCGAGTCGTTAGTCATGACTGACTGTGAGTCACTGGTGAGCTGGCCGTGGCCTGATTGTTTTCTTTATTTTAGTATAATAATGGCATTATATACTAGCTCTAGCGCAGTTGATTAACATGCATGCAGCGCGGAAAAGCTGGAGGGGGTTACTTGGCCGATTGAGGAAATCTTCGGCCGAGATGTACTTGCCTGACTTTGGTCTGCACAGTGAAGGTATATAAAGGAGACTAAAATGAGAGAAAAAAAAAATATATATCCTGTAAATTGCCCGTAATATTGATTACATATAAATATATATATATATAAATCTATGGATTTATAGTAGAGTACGCTATTGTAAAAGCATCGTATTAGGAAATTTCCGCTCCGGCCGGACCCAGCACAGCAAATCAATTCGCGTTAACAAAACACAAGCGTGCGCTGTGAGTGGCCGGGCAGCTCCTGCAGCGCTCCGGTCGGCGGCCTCCTAAGTTACGCCTGGTATTTTCAGCGGAAATAGATTACCTGATACGCCCGGCTGTAAAATTAATATGCAGCAGCTCTCTCGGAGGGCTCCGTATGCTGTCATAAACATGTAATGGTAAGACTTCGACTACTATCAGATCAAGGATTAATAAAACATATATATATATATACACACGACGTATATAAATATAGATAGCACTTGTTTGTACCTGTGTATGTGACACTACTTGTATTGACTTCGCTACCGAATCGAGCCAGCCAAGCAATGGTAATCTGGTAATACGTATATGCTTTCGTTCCGCCCGTACCGACACAGTAAAAATAAACCCCATCCCAGCCAGACATCGTCAAGCAATTGTAAGCAGCTTGCCCTCTACCACAATTTGCCACGATCCCCCGACCTTTGATCAAATGAAAAAGAAAAGAAAAACCCCACAATATTTTTCTTTTTCAATTAAATTACCACTGCTGGTGTAGTTACCATAACCTATTACCTACTTGCTAGTACAGGAAGGAACCACCTAGACAGAATTCCGGCCTCCCTCCCTTCCTTCCTTCCTGCGCTGCACCGGCCTAAACCAATCCGACTGTCTGCCCCTCCCCTCTTGCCATTATTTATTTTATTTTCCCTGCTCTCTTCCCACTTCTTCTTTTCTTCTCTCTCTCTCTCTTTTTCACTCTTGCTTTTCACTCTCAAGACGCTGGGTTCAATTGCCATCCCTCTTACCTGCCACACGCTGCGAACAGTTGTTGACCCACCCCCAGTCGTCGTGACGACAACTATCGGCATTCACCCCGCTCCCTTTCCGTTATCGCTCTGCTTCTGAGTCGCCTCGACGAAAGGATCCCCCGAAAATCATTCACCAGAGAAAAAAAAGGGGCACTTTTTTTTCTCTTTCTCAACTACTCTCTCCAAAAATCAGAAGAAAACAGCTAGTTCTTCTGCAAAAGTTCAAATTTATCGTCTTTTTCTCTCTTTCTTTGATACGCGTTCTCTGTCGGTCACCGGCGGAAGAATGGGTCTCTTGGAGGAAGTCTACGGAAATGAATTAATTGACGAGCAAGCTCCTCAGCAGTATACTGAGTATCGATCGGAGAAGGGATTTGGCTGGGCTGACGCTCTTCCCGCCAAACAGGGTCTCTACAACCCTGAACTTGAAAAGGATGCTTGTGGTGTAGGCTTCGCTGCGTAAGTTGCTGGCTTGTCATTCGAGTGTTTGTGTTTGTTCAGCGATTCTGTAGACTAACAACTAATCATTATGCAGCCATATTAAGGGCAAGGCGAGCCACAAAATTGTTAGCGATGGTATGTGCTTTTGTTCCTTTTCCTTTTCCTTTTGTCTTTTTTGGGGGGCCATTTTCATCTTACTGATGTATCCCTTTTATAGCCCGGAGCTTGCTGTGCAACATGACTCACCGTGGAGCCGTCGGCTCGGACGTGCGCGACGGTGACGGTGCTGGTGTCATGACCAGTATCCCTCATAAATTCTTCGTAAAGAATTTTGCTCGTGAGGCTGGGCTGGAACTGCCCCCTCTGGGGCAGTATGCCGCCGGTAACCTCTTCTTCAAACCGGACAACGAGACGTTGAAAGATTCCATTGCCTCTTTCGAAGATATCGCTGCTTCGCTCGGCTTGCGGGTACTTGGCTGGCGTGAGGTGCCTCGCGACTCGACTCTCTTGGGACCCGCTGCCTTGTCGCGTGAGCCCACTATCATGCAGCCATTCGTTGTGCTGCGTTCTGCATACGGAGAGGGAAACAAACCTGAAATTACCGACCCCGAAAAGTTTGACGACCGCCTTTTTGAGAGGCAACTGTACGTTTTGCGCAAGCGGGCTACACATGTGCTTGGCTTGGCCAACTGGTTCTACCTCTGCTCCCTCAGCAACAGAAACATCGTTTACAAGGGTCAATTGGCTCCTGTTCAGGTGTATGAATACTACCATGATCTAGTCAATGTCGACTATGAAGTCCATTTCGCCCTCGTGCACTCCCGTTTCTCCACAAACACATTCCCTTCGTGGGACCGCGCGCAACCGCTTCGGTGGGCCGCTCACAACGGTGAAATCAACACTCTCAGAGGTAACAAGAACTGGATGAGGGCGCGCGAAGGTGTACTGAGATCTGATATTTTCGGCGATGAGCTTGATTCCCTCTACCCGATCGTTGAGGATGGTGGTTCAGACTCGGCTGCGTTCGATAACGTTCTTGAGCTTCTCATGATTAATGGTGTTCTGTCGCTGCCCGAAGCAGTCATGCTGATGGTGCCGGAAGCCTGGCAAAACAATGCTGCCATGGATCCCGCCAAGGCTGCTTTCTACGAATGGGCCGCATGCCAGATGGAACCCTGGGATGGTCCAGCTCTCTTCACATTCTCAGACGGTCGCTACTGCGGTGCCAACCTTGACCGAAATGGTCTCCGTCCTTGCCGTTTCTACGTCACTGATGATGACCGCATCATCTGTGCCTCTGAAGTTGGTACTATTAGCTTGGACCCCGAGTCTATCGTTCAAAAGGGTCGTCTGCAGCCTGGAAAAATGCTGTTAGTCGACACCGTTGCCGGTCGCATCATCGATGATGCAGAACTGAAGCAGACCGTGGCTCACCGTCAGGATTTCCGCGCCTGGCTGGACAAGGAATTGATCACCCTTCCTATTGTCGAGAAGGGCTTGCAGGCACAGAGCCATGATTTCAACATTACGCTTGATGAAGCCACCATCCAAAACGACGTTAGACTAAAGGCCTTTGGATATTCTTTTGAACAAGTGAGCTTGTTGTTGGCTCCCATGGCCGCTGATTCCAAGGAGGCATTGGGTTCTATGGGTAACGATGGGCCTTTGGCTTGCTTGGCTCAACAACCCCGTCTTTTGTATGAGTACTTCCGTGAACTTTTTGCCCAGGTCACCAACCCACCCATCGATCCCATCCGAGAGGCCATCGTCATGTCGCTCGAGTGCTACGTTGGCCCACAAGGAAACTTACTTGAGATCGATTCCTCCCAGTGCAATCGTCTCATGCTGCCATCTCCAGTGCTTACATTGAGCGAGTTTGAAACCATCAAGAACATGACCAAAGTCAATCCAGAATGGAATGTGAGAGTTATCGACATTACCTTTGAGAAATCGAAGGGTGTTCAGGGCTATTTGGATGCTCTTGACAGCATCTGTGAAGCTGCTACCGAAGCTATTCAGGCTGGTGACAAGATCATAATTCTGTCCGACCGTGCTACATCTGTCAACCGGGTGCCTGTTTCTGCTTTGTTGGCTACCGGTCTAGTCCATCACCACATGGTTCGCAACAAGTGGAGATCACTGGCTGCTCTTGTAGTCGACACTGGAGAGGCTCGTGAAGTCCACCACATGTGCGTGCTTCTTGGATACGGTGCTGACGCAATCTGCCCATACCTCGCTTTGGAATGCATTCTGAAGATGAACCGCGAGAAGCTCATTCGCAAGCCGCTGTCCGATGAGCAGGTTCTTCTAAACTACAAGGCCTCTTGCGATGGTGGTATTTTGAAAGTTATGTCTAAGATGGGTATCTCTACTTTGCAGTCATACAAGGGTGCTCAGATTTTTGAAGCTCTCGGTATCGATGACGCTGTCATTGATCGATGCTTTGCAGGTACTGCTAGTCGCATTCGCGGTGTCACATTTGAGCTTATTGCGCAAGATGCTTTTGCTTTCCACGAGCGAGGCTTCCCTTCACGTCCCATCACGGAAATTGCCGGCTTGCCCGAGTCCGGTGAATACCACTGGCGTGATGGTGGTGACCCTCACGTAAACGACCCTACCGGCATTGCCAACATTCAGGATGCTGTTCGCACGAAGAATGACAAGTCCTATGAGGCATATGCCCGTGCAGAACATGAGGCTATCAAGAACTGTACCCTCCGAGGCATGCTCGATTTTGATTACGAGCAACGCGCTTCTATTCCCATCGATCAGGTTGAACCCTGGACTGAAATTGTTCGCCGCTTCGTTACCGGTGCGATGTCCTATGGATCCATCTCTATGGAGTCTCATTCCACGTTGGCCATCGCCATGAACCGCTTGGGTGGCAAGTCCAACACAGGTGAAGGTGGTGAAGACCCAGAGCGAAGCAAGGTCATGGAGAACGGCGACACCATGCGCTCTGCCATTAAACAGATTGCTTCTGGACGATTCGGTGTCACATCCAATTACCTCGCTGATGCTGATGAACTTCAAATCAAGATGGCTCAGGGTGCCAAGCCTGGTGAAGGTGGTGAGCTTCCCGGTCACAAGGTCTCGGGCCCTATTGCTCGCACACGTCATTCTACTCCTGGTGTCGGACTTATCTCCCCTCCTCCACACCACGATATCTACTCCATCGAGGATTTGAAACAACTCATCTATGATCTCAAGTGCTCCAATCCTCGTGCTCGCGTGTCTGTCAAGCTTGTCTCCGAGGTCGGCGTTGGTATTGTTGCCTCCGGTGTCGCTAAAGCAAAGGCTGACCACATTCTTATCTCTGGCCACGACGGCGGTACTGGAGCTTCCCGATGGACTGGTATCAAGGCTGCCGGTTTACCCTGGGAGCTGGGTTTGGCCGAGACTCACCAGACCCTTGTTTTGAACGATCTTCGTGGTCGTGTTATTGTCCAGACTGATGGTCAATTGAAGACTGGCCGCGATGTCGCTATCGCCTGTTTGCTCGGTGCGGAAGAATGGGGCTTTGCAACCACCCCGTTGATTGCTATGGGTTGCATATTCATGCGCAAATGTCATTTGAACACTTGTCCTGTAGGCATAGCCACACAGGATCCCGAATTGCGCAAGAAGTTCCAGGGTACTCCCGAACACGTGATCAACTTCTTTTACTATGTTGCCAACGAGCTTCGCGCTATTATGGCCAAACTCGGTATCCGCACTATCAATGAGATGGTGGGTCGCGCTGAGTTGCTCAAGGTCAGGGATGACATTCGTTCACCCAAGCAGGAAAACATCGACTTGTCTCTCATTTTGACCCCTGCTCACTCGCTACGCCCTGGCGTTGCTACCTACAATGTGCGCAAGCAGGATCACCGCCTGCACGTTCGTCTCGACAACAAGTTGATTGCCGAGTCTGAGCTTGCCTTGGAGAAGGGGCTTCCCTGCAGAGTTGAGTGTGATGTCGTCAACACTGACCGCGCTCTGGGTGCCACTCTCTCATACCAGATCAGCCGTCACTACGGAGAAGTTGGTTTGCCGCAGGACACTATTCATGTCAACATCAAGGGCTCTGCTGGTCAATCATTTGGTGCATACCTTGCTCCTGGTGCTACATTGGAGCTTGAGGGTGACGCCAACGACTATGTCGGCAAGGGTCTGTCCGGTGGTCGTCTTATCATCTATCCTCCCCGTGGCGCCGTTTACAAGGCTGAGGAGAACATCATCATTGGTAATGTCTGTCTCTATGGTGCTACCGGTGGTACTTGCTACTTCCGCGGTGTTGCTGCTGAGCGATTTGCTGTGCGAAACTCCGGTGTTACTGCTGTTGTTGAAGGTGTTGGTGATCACGGTTGCGAGTACATGACTGGAGGTAGAATCCTTGTCCTTGGATCTACTGGTCGTAACTTCGCAGCTGGTATGTCCGGTGGTATTGCCTACGTTCTCGATGTCAACCAGGACTTCCACTCCAAGATCAACATGGAGATGGTTGAAGTATCCGGATTGGAAGACCCAGCCGAAATCGCTTTCGTCCGGGGTCTCATCGAGGATCATCACCACTACACCGGCTCTGAGCTCGCAGCTCGTATCCTGCTTGACTTCAACCGCGCTCTTCCACGCTTCGTCAAGGTTCTGCCTACCGACTACAAGCGTGTCCTCCTCGAGGAAGCCGCCAAGGCCGAGGCAGCTAAGAAAGCGGAATTCACGCTTCCTAAGCTCCCAAGCACCCCTGCTCCAGTCGAAGAGAAGAAAGAGCACAAGCATGAAGACGCCAAGAAGAGCGATCTCCTCGATATCGAAGACAGCATCAGCGATCCTAAGGCTGAGAAGAAGCGCACTGCTCTTATTCTCGACAAGACCCGCGGCTTTATGAAGTATCACAGACGCAGCGAGAAGTACCGCAACCCAACCACCCGTACCCGTGACTGGGCCGAGCTTTCGAGCCGTCTCACTGAGGACGAGCTGAAGTTCCAGTCCGCACGTTGCATGGACTGCGGTGTCCCCTTCTGTCAATCTGATAGCGGTTGCCCTATCTCCAACATCATTCCTAAGTGGAACGAGCTTGTTTTCCAGAACCAATGGCAAGATGCCCTCAACCGACTCTTGATGACAAACAACTTCCCTGAGTTTACCGGTCGTGTCTGCCCTGCTCCCTGTGAAGGTGCTTGCGTGCTTGGCATCAACGAAGACCCAGTTGGCATCAAATCCATCGAGTGCGCTATCATCGACCGCGGTTTCGAAATGGGCTGGATGGTCCCTCGTCCCCCTCCTAGCCGCACTGGAAAGAATGTCGCTATTATTGGATCTGGCCCTGCTGGTCTTGCTGCCGCTGACCAACTCAACCGCGCCGGTCACTCCGTCACTGTGTATGAGCGCGCAGACCGCATTGGTGGTCTGCTCATGTACGGTATTCCCAACATGAAGCTCGACAAGAAGGTTGTTCAGCGTCGTGTCGATCTCATGGCTGCCGAGGGAGTTAAATTCGTTACCAGCACTGCTGTTGGGCCCGATCACGAAGTTAGCATGGAATCTCTGCGTCAAAGCAATGATGCTGTCATTATTGCTACTGGTGCCACTGTTGCTCGTGATCTCAAGATTCCTGGACGTGAACTCGAGGGTATCCATTTCGCGATGCAGTTCTTGCACAAGAACACAAAGTCTCTTCTGGACTCTCAACACGCAGATGGTGCATACATCTCTGCCAAGGACAAGCACGTTGTTGTCATTGGTGGTGGTGACACTGGTAACGACTGCATTGGTACATCGGTGCGTCACGGAGCTAAGAGCGTTGTCAACTTTGAATTGCTGCCACAGCCTCCGCCAGAGCGTGCCCGTGACAACCCTTGGCCACAGTGGCCTCGTATCTACCGCGTTGACTACGGTCACACTGAGGTCAAGACTCACATGGGCAAGGACCCTCGTGAGTACTGCATCATGTCCAAGGAGTTTGTCGATGATGGCAACGGAAACGTGAAGGGTATCAACACCGTTCGCGTTGAGTGGACAAAGAGTGCCTCTGGTGGATGGGACATGAAGACTGTTGAAGGCAGCGAGCAGTTCTTCCCTGCTGACTTGGTCATGCTTTCCATGGGTTTCTTGGGACCCGAGGACCGTCTACTTGGAGATGAGATTGAACGCGATGCGCGCAAGAACGTGAAGACTGCACCGGGCCAGTATGCAACCAACCTTCCGGGCGTCTTTGCTGCAGGAGATTGCCGTCGTGGACAGTCCCTTATTGTTTGGTAAGTCCTATTATGCATCATTTATTTCTATTATTTTGTACAAATACTAATTAAATCTACAGGGGTATCAACGAAGGTCGTCAAGCTGCTCGTGAAGTCGACACGTACCTCATGGGAACTGGATCCCTTCTTCCGGTGACCGGTGGTATTGTCCGTCGCCCAGCTGCTGATGCTGTTCCGCAGGTCACTGCAACTGTTGCTGCTTAAGCATCAGAAATCATCTCAGAAAGAACATCACACGAAAAATCGATGACGATAAAAAGTTCGCGCCCAAGACATTATTATATTTTTATGTAACGCAGATATTTATCTTGTGTGCATCCTCTTTCCATCTTTTGAACAAATACCCAAAGTGTCATTGAATCGAGCAGGGCTCAATTTCAACCATTTTTCCTTTCCAAGAATCTATGCTACATGATGTACGACAGCGTTTGTTTTTTTTTTTTTTGTTTTTTGTTTTTCCTTATAAATTGGAAAGTGGAAAGGGAGGCATTTGTGTTTTCTGTCTAGCTAGAATTTCTCTCTTCCGGTATTTTCATTTCGTTTCGTTTCTTTTGTATGTTTGAATATGTTCTTCTTTCTAATTTGTGAATATTCTCTTAGTCTATTGGTCAATGGTAATCGGTATATTCAATAATCTATCATCCACCGAGTATGTAGTAGGGTTGGTCTGTCTGTATCATTAGATGATCTCTATCATACCTACTACAGAGTAACGAGTGACATGCTAACTTAGACGTGGTAGGGCAATATCAACATGAAGAGTTGAAAAATGGGTATAGTATATACAGTTAATCTATCTAATCCAGTCTTTTAACACAATATACACATATAGTTACAAACATCCATAATCATACAAAACAAGACGAGAACATCCATATTCACCTTGACGACCCCGTAGCAAGAGCCTGCTCTTCCTTCTGCCCTTGCTGACCTCCTTTGCCTCTCTCCCCTCTCTCCAACGCATCGAAATCCCCCTGAAACGCGCCCTCTAACGGCTCCATCCTAACCTCCCACACATCCTCACTGCTCGGACCAGTCTTATACTTGATCGCTTTCTTCCGGTAATGATCGCGAATCATCTCCTTGCGCGCATCGTCGTCTCGCAGTCCGCGCGCTTTCATGCATAGCCAGAAATTCTCCCAGTGTTCGCTGCAGGAGCGCAACTCGCCGTACCGGTATACGTTGACCCATTGCCCGCCGAAGGATTGGCAGAAGAACGCGTAGTCAAAGGCGGAGCGGCAGGACATGGTGTCTGGGTAGAGGGAGTCGGGGGATATGGATTTTGTTTCGTGGGATTGGTCTGGGGGCGATGGGGAGAGGTTGGGTTGTGATGAGGATGGTGGGGCTGATGATGATGGTTCGAGGCTTTTGAGGAAGTCTCGTAGTTCGTTGTCGGCTTGTTGTTGGCCACGCGTTAACGGTGGTGTTGACGATGTAGGTTGGATGTATGATGATTCTTGTTGTTGTTGCTCATTTTTGCTGGAGGATGACCACGACCACCAGCCCATTGTGAATGTCGATGTCGATGTCGATGTCAATGCTAGTTGTCCGACTCTGTGACTTGATATGAGGAATTCTGCAGGCTGAGCAATGCGTGTACGTGATTGATGTTGAGGTTAATGTTGTTAAATGTTAAGATGATGAACTATTACATCTAAAATTTAAATACAATACCGTACCCGATACAATACAGGCTTGGCGCTGATCCGTAACTTCAGCTCGCACTAACCCGAATAGGCAACTTACATCAACTCGAGTCGACGTCATCCAGTGCGACTTGTTTTGATCAACATCAAGTTCCTCGCAAGGATGGTAAAGCAGCAGGTCAACTAGTCCGTAACTGCTCATGTACAGCACAATGCGTGTGTTGGATACTCTGCGCAATCAGCGCTGTCGTCATGCCCTCCTCTCGTGTCATGCATCACGGATATCTGCTGCTTGCACGCTGATACGACACAGTTCAAGGACGACGACGACCACTGTTGCTGCTGCTGCAACAACAGCAACAGCTTCTATTTCCGATGACCTGCAGCAAGGACATATATATGTAGGTCCTGATGAGGAGGTTCTGTTTATTAACAGTACGATTAGCCCTTGACGATCCATGCTTAAATAAATCTGACTGGCTTATAGATATCCTCCCCCTACGCCTCCAATGGCTCTACCGCATTCTCTGGCTTGGCGACACATTCGGCGTCGAAAGACTGCTCAAACACGTCGACAAGCCATCCTACGCCGCAGCCGACCACTGGGCAATTGTGCAACGAGCACTACCACCGAACCTAAACGTGCAAGTCAAACAAGTCCTCCCTCGACTAAGCGAGGGCGGGTTATTCATAAAATATTCCGTCCCGCCTGAAGGTCGCGAGCAAAAGAGCAAAGGTGAAATTGCTGCCGCAGTCGACGCTTATTTAGAGCAAAACCCCATTCGCCCATGGTTCAACCCCTTTGATCGTGTCGGCGTTGGTCGCGTTCTGGGAAAGCCCTGGATTGAGGATATGTATCACTTGCCGAGTCCGAAAGTGAAGATTGAGTTTTTATCGGCTTCTGCTGCTAGTTCGGTGTCTGCACCTGCGACGGCTTCTGCGGCGGAATTGACTCCGGAAGCTTTGTATTCGATATTTCGGAGATATGGAAAGATCAAGGACATAGAGAGACAGCCAGCTGATTCTAAGATCATTCCTAAGTACGCCAATATAGAGTTTACCAGAATAAAGTACGCTATCCTTGCTCGGAGTTGCATACACGGAATCACCATCCCAGGAGAAGTGAGCGGCGGCAAGGACGGAGGAACTGGAACTGTTCTTAAAGTATCTTATGAGCGGAAAATCAAGGCTCATTGGATCAGAGACTGGATTGTCAATCATCCTCGTATCGTGATCCCCGCCATAGCAGCATTGATTGCAGGGATTACAGTCATTATCTTCGATCCTATCCGCACCTTCTTTATTAAGGTCAAGGTCAAGTACCTGCTTAATACGAATGACAAGCAGCCGATATGGTCATGGATTCGAAAGGAAGTACGCAAAGCAAACTTTTTGTCTTTCAAAAAACGCAGCGAGAAGAACGTGCTCCGAGCCATATGGGATGACCGCAAGGACGAAATCACGCAACTTCAGTCATGGTTGGTCGAAAACGGCAATACTTTCATCGTCGTCCAGGGGCCGCATGGCTCTGGCAAGAGGGAGATAGTTGTGGACCAAGCTTTGAGAGACCGAAACAACAAACTCATTATCGACTGCAAGCAAATCCAAGAAGCTAGGGGTGATGCACAGACAATCTCCGTGGCGGCTCAGCAAGTCGGGTACCGGCCGATATTCTCATGGATGAATAGCATCAGCAGCTTCATAGACTTGGCCTCCCAGGCTGTTATTGGCACCAAAGCCGGATTTTCGGAGACGCTGGACTCCCAACTTAGCAAAATATGGACAAACACTGCGACTGCTCTGCGACAAATTGCACTTGAGAGTAGAAAGCAGGATGACCGCGATAATGGACTTTCGGACGAAGAATACCTAGAGGCGCATCCGGAGATAAGACCTGTCGTTGTGATTGATAATTTCCTGCATGGGATTGGTGAGGGCCTTGTCTATGACAAGATTGCAGAATGGGCTGCGGCATTGGTCACTAGCAACGTAGCTCATGTCATCTTCCTCACGCCAGATGCTTCATTCTCAAAGTCACTTAGTAAAGCGCTTCCCAACCAAGTGTTTCGCTCGATATCGTTAGGTGATTGCTCACTTGAAGTGGGGCGTCATTTCATTCTTCGTTATTTGCAACATCGCGAAGGCCAGAAGAGTGATGATGAGGCGGAAGAGCCAGATATACCGCCGGAGGGGCTAGAAGATTTGGATGACTGTATTCAAACGGTTGGCGGTCGTTTGACTGACTTGGAGTTTATGGCGCATAGAATCAAGTCGGGCGAGAGACCTAAAAGTAAGTTCCATTCATTCATTATCTTTTATCAAGCTGTTGAAATTGAATGATGTTGCTAATTGCTCAATCTCAGGCGCCGTCAAACACATCATTGAACAAGCAGCCGCTGAAATCTTGAAAGTTTACGTCCTCGAAGCCAGTCACGGCGACACGGCATGGACTCGCGAGCAAGCTTGGTACCTGATCAAGAAGATCGGCGAAGACGCCAGCGGTGTTGTTCCTTATAACGGTATTGTCCTTTCAGATCTCTTTGCAGAAAATGGCGAAAAAACATTATCTGCCCTTGAGCAAACAGACCTCATTAGCGTCATATCTGTCAATGGCCGTCCATCAGCAATCAAATCCGGTCGACCAGTCTACCATGCCGCCTTCAAACACCTCACTGAAGACCAGGTACTACGGAACAAACTCGATCTCGGTATACTGGGCCAGTTGATTGGCAAGGAAAATGCCAAAGTCAGCAAGTACGAAGCTGAGCTTCAGTTGCTGGGGACTCTGAAGAAGTATCCGACTGAGCTGAATTCAAGAGTGCAATGGGTGGCTCAGAAGCTGCAGGATGCTCAGGGCAAGTTGGAGAAATATGAAAGGCAGAGCGGAGCATTGGCCAAATTTCTGAAGACGGCGGAATGATATGTCATTTGGGGCAATATACTGTTTAAATGCAGGTTCTAGCTCAGTATGATTTATCAGTATGCGCCGAAGACATTCTTCTGCGAGCACTAGTAAGGAACTGTGTATGGCCTGTTGGATTTATTCTTATGTCTTTTGCTTGGGACAACTTCGTCTTTACTTGCTAATACGCTGATACCTGTTCTTATCATTACTAGGAGCATCAGATGAAATCTAGGAAACGTCATGTAAATCAAAGACAGAGAATATTCATCATGAGAAAAAGACGAAAGAGAACTTAGCACCTGGAAACCCACTATTTTTACAGTCTTCCTCTTGTAAAGCGAATCTCTCGTGCTCGTCTTACCAACGAACTCAGAGCAATAACTGGATCTGTTCAACTTTTGCCTCGATAACGGCCCTAGGATAGTCCCTTTCGCCCGGTGCCGAAATATGCTCTTTCCACTCTGTGATTATCTCATCGCACATACCGGCCAATGTTGTGCTCTTATGAGCCGAGCTTTGGTAGGCATGAAGGTAGCCCATGTCACTCCTCGTATTGAAGGCAAAGACAATTTCGTACGGTGCATCATGGATTCTTAACTTGTAATAGTCGTCCCTAGAGATACCGTAACGGGTTTTGAAGCCATCGAGAGCTAGCACCATCCTTACCCACTTGCCCTCCAATTCCAAGAATTTAAGGACAAGAAAGTCAGTTTTGATGTCTGCACCATGCATAGTGTGGATTTTTCTATTGCTAGATGCGAGTTCACCGAACTTTTCTAGATCACTCGCGTGGAGTGACATTTTTTCTCGGTGAAGTTCGAGAAGCCGTTGGTCGTACTCTGCGAGGCGTTGATTATGATCCATAATGAGCTGATCGAGTGGACCTGGGTCCCTGAGACGCTGATCTGAATTTAAGTCTTCGAAACGTTTATCGTAGTCCTGAAGACGTTCTTCGTGCTTATTGAGTCGATCATTTTGGTCTTGGAGTATTTTCTCGACCTTCTCGAAGCGTTCCAGCAGATTCGGGCTCTCCTTCTTGCCAACTGTGTTTGGGTTATCTGACTCCATCTTTATTTCTTATTCGGATAAAAGTGCTTTGACACTGCTGGCTAGATATGTGAATCGTCGTTTTACCTCAAGTGATTTTCAAACAGCTTGTCAGTGGGCGTTTGTTCCTATTCATTTATCATTCGACAACCCTCTCAGCAGTTTAATGTCACTGTGTTCTCGAACAACAAACTACCTAGGCAGAAAGTCCAGAGAAAGCGCTTTTCTGGATTATGATATTAAGATCAGGAGCCAGCTTAGGGATTTAATAGGCAAGTCCGTGACGAAACAACACGAAACGTATATATGAAACAGACAGAATAGAATTCTTCAAAGATTCAATGAAATGATGTCCTAATGTAGATATTATTCGTTTCTCTTCCTAGGCTACTCGGCAATTGTTGTTGCTCTTCCATCTACAGGCTCGCAAGAAATGAAATGTTGACGCAACTTGTACAGGTAAAGCTTCCAAGTGGCAGCTGCTTCTATATGCTACCTAGAAAACATATACTTTTCTATAAGCTAGAAGGCGTTCATATTCAAAAATAAATTGACAAATTTCGGCTTTTCGCTTCTTTGACTTTCAGTGGGTATTCACTACAGATATGACAATATTGCTCTTTTGTCTGTTGACACTTAAAACCTCACCTGTTTCAAAAAAGTCCTTGCAGGGTTCATTCACAGAAAAGAGAGAAACTTGACCAAGATGGCCTTTGTAAAATAGCCTTTTGCACTACTGATGCTATGAATGCTAAGACAAATAAATCATTCCAAGTTTATGGGATGTTTTGCCCATCTACAAAGAACGCATCTCTCTATACTCGGTTGGGAATTGAAAACATTTGATGATACCTAGGTAGTTTCGAGTGTACTCACTGTAAAATGAATTTACAAAGAAAACACAGATAGAATCCATCTATTACTTAGGTATGTGATGGGCTACATGCTGCACAGCATTAACTAACAATCGCTTGCTGCTTGGTTCACTCTGCTCATGCAACTTGTTGGCCTTATGCCACGCCTTGATGGCCATTTTTACAGAGTATAGTAGCACCAGATGGCAAGTTGAGCTCATCAAGAATTTGAACATTCTTTTCTTTGTTACATAATATCTCTTTAATATCTCCATGAAACCTTTTAGTCTATTTGAGAGCCTGGTACACAAGGTCTTGTTATTTTTTTTTATCTCTGACTATTCGAATTACCTGAATCTTTGCTGGGCTGATCAAGGTGTCACCGCTTTTAACCTCTCTAGTTCTTAAAGACCGGATGAACTCACTTGTCAACTCCCAATACTACCTTTTAGCACCTTCATGACAATTCTCATAACATGAACATCCTTGTGCCGCTATACATCTTGGCTTTGCTAGTTTTAATGGGATATCAAGTTCGTACACGAGTGGGCTTCAAAGACCTGCCCATAGAGAATTTTCTCGAAATCTCTTCCTACTTAGCTGAACGTGACCGCCTCTACCTCGCACTTAGATGCGAATCGCTGCTTGAAATTCTCGACAGCGATAAGGCTTTGCAGCGCTCGTCACTCTTCAGAGCTACTGCGACGTTTCTCGACGAATGGATGAACAGATTTGCAAGCTACAAGGCTAGGGAAAGTCCTGGCTGGAAGCTTCTTGGGATATTGGAGAATTCGCGCTGGCGTCGTTGCTTCGGTTGTTTCAAACTACATCCACGTGCATACTTCGAAGAGCACTGGCTCAAGGCCCCTGTCCCTTTGCGGGTGTTGCTCGCCTTTGCCCATGCATAGAAATTACTTTTGAGCTAAAGCAAAGCTTGCGAAAGCGCTGTTATCTCAAGAGAGGATGATAGGCGAATATAGAATTAAGAATCATGTCATAGAGATGACTATTTCTACAGGTCGCCATCAATGTTCACATTCATATGAGCTAGAAGATATCCATCATGTTACGATATAGTGCAAACTAGCATTGTCTGTTGAAGGGAAGAATGAGAGAAATTTCATTATAAAGACTGAGTATCGCATTTCGATAATGTCGTTCTCAAGATGCTTCATCAGGGGCGAGGTGCAACTATGCCCTCATCGAGATGTTACATCGCATATCTATGAGCTTGAAAGACAGCATGCAAAAGAGATGAATCGCAATAATGTTGGACTCCGGCGAGTCTTACACGACAGAGACCGGCACTATCCCGAAGGTTCCCTGTCTTATCCATGGTGTCAGACAACCGTATTCAATGTTTCTTCTAGTTTTATTCCGCCAGATAGCGGTGGAACTGGAGGAAAACGCATCTCTTTGCTTCGCCACAGCCATGGATGAAGCTGATGATGTGGTGGTATCATAAAACTGAGACCGGTGTTGAATTTGAATCGAATATTTATAGATCTGGTGTCCATTTTACTGAGGTAAAACGTCGATCATGGATACCATCACAATGATACAAATAACCTACAGCTCTAAGCCAGGAATGCACCAATGCGGCAGCGTATAAGGGACTTAATATGCTACCTCTGTGCCTATAAATCTAACCGGCAATCAATTTGAACAAGGGTCATTGTCATATTTACGGGATTTTAAGGACATTAAGTTGCTTATGAGTTGTTCTTTTTCAAGAACAATAGAGGTCAGATATCTATATTTAGAATTATGCCTCGATATATGTTAGGTTGTTACTAGTTACCTAAGTAGGGTAATTACAGACTTGACCCTACATCCAACTACTGGTGCTAGTGGTCACATCCGACCATATGTAGCTATATACATAGGACTTCTTAGGTAGCTGAATTAGCTTATTCAGACACCTATCTGAAGACTTATTTCTATGCGTATAAAATTAAATATAATTATCTAGGTAGTTACCATATTATCCCAGTCTGTCACTCTTTCTTTGTAAACACAAAATATACTAATGAGTATCTAGTTAAGGCATAAATAACTAGACAAGTGTATGTTCAAGACAGGGCACAAGCTAGGATCCAAAGCCGTGTGCAAAAAACGCTTACCTAGTTCTAGCCATGAACAATGTTATACTACGCTATTGACAAACTTATGGCTTATTGAAATGATTCCGGTCAATTGAACAAATATTCATTGATTCAATACATGAAGACATGAAATGAAACCGCAAATCATCCGTGAAACCATGTGCAAGCCGCCAAATTGTCCAACACCACGACTCCTGGTCCTCCTGACCAGACTACACTAACTTCATTTGCTACCTGCGGCATATCGCCGTTGACAAAGGCTGGCTATGACTAATTCTGGGAAGATGCATTTTTCGTAGTCATGTTCGCAGTGATTTGGGGGGTCTCTTGTGGAGGATTTTGTTGTGTTCCCTGGGCTGACACACCTCTCTGTGTGATGCCTTCCAGCGGTTTGAGGAAGCTGATAATGTCCTCTAACGATGCTTGCAAATGCGTAAGTTTTTCGACCAGTTCTTCGTCAAATTTTTCGTCAAGCTTTGGATTCCGGGACAGCGGCAGGATACCCATGACTTCGAGGACGAGGAGGATCACGTTAATGACACTAATAGTTTTGGAAAAGGTGGGCATTTTGGTCTCGAAGTATGTTGTTGGACCATGTAAAAGTAGCATATGCTATGAGGAAATCTCTGAAGCAGCGTCAATAAGCTGATCAAGGATGCGATGAAGGTAGGGAAACAACATCATCAAATAATTTCTAGAGGAGCACTGTGGAATGAGAGAAGATGAGGAGGAAGTCAATGCTTTTAAAGAAAAGTAGGTACAGTAAAGAGAACGACTAACCCTTCAATTTTGTCCATATCCATAGACACTACTTTCACAGTAAACAAACATCCTCCACAAAGGCAACAGTGTTGATAAAGGTCGTCGGTTGTATTGGAAGCAAGCATCCTGGCAAACATTCATTATCGCGGGACACAATGATTATGAATGTATTTGCTTCATAGGAAGTCGCGTTTGCATTGTTACTCTACCTACTTTGAGTAGAACGGGATACCACGCAACATCTTCCAGGCTTTGTTCATTGGGGTTTATTCCGAATAATCTTGTCAAAGTGTCATCATGATGTCTTATTCCCTAGCAGGGAGGTTTTTTTCTTCTTTCCCCCTTGAATCCTGCTATTAGATGAAATTGTTCCAAAACGGCATTGTGACTATCCCAGCCACTCAAATCCCCTGTAGCTACAGTGATTGACAGGATAATTGTGTGAGTATCACCTATCTGAATGGAAAGAAACTTCAGGCCCAACAGAGAACTAGATGGAGTCCCAATAGTTGGCTATGTTCACAGAATAAGTATTACTCCATGGAGGCATTTGCCATCCCCTGACTGTCCAAGGCCAGCATAGTAAAAACTATATACGAAGTGTGTTCATAGCACATACTATGATGCAGGATACTAAGGAAATTGCTCAGAAGCACTCAAAGCATGGTAATACAATATATAAAGACCAGTAACTATTCTTTGAAGAAATCGCTTATTGGATATACTATCAAATACCTATGGCAAAAAAGCTTTGACGAATCCCAGGGGGCTTTGAATTGTCTCGGTCATCTGATTTGGATATTATATTTAGTTCTAGAAAACTTCTGCACCTTTGCTTGAGATGTGTGCTGCCTACGTCAAAAAAGATAAGACAGAATTGTCCCTTTTTGGTGGCTTAATAGTTGTTGAGACCCTCGATGTAGTTGCCTGCGGTTCCCGATTAGGTTATGTAGTGGACCTCATGACGAGATATCTCCTCCTCGTGAGGCCTTCCTAGGTTAGACAATACACACATCTTCTGCCTCATAATTGGCGCCCCCAATAATAGTCAATATTCCCTCTTACAACCAACTACCGCCGCCGCTGCCTGGCTTGGAGATGGACGACATGCCGAGACAAGAAGGTCTCTGACAAGCAAGAATGAATCGAGCCCAGGCTGAGGAAGATGCTGTCGTCTCAGAAGTCGACGTTCATACTATTTTGGCCTTCACTAGCCTGATGAGCCAAAGAATGATGGAGAACCATGCTCTAGAAAGGCGAACGCCGCTATCTAAAGAAGCAGAACCGTGGGAATATGCTGCCAGACAGCCTTGACTCACTTGCCAGCATATGTGTGTTGAAGGAGCAACAATTATTCGCTATTGCACTTCTATATGGTGCTGAAAACAATCAGACGATACTCGAAATCATCATCTCTGGCAGAACCCCTTTGGGAGCGCCCTCATCTCAGAGCAGACCGAAGAAGAGATGGAGGGAGTTATTACACAAGAATTCAAGAAACGAAAGTTGGAAGACCTGAAAGAAGAAGACGAGTAAAAGACCATGGCGCCCACCCAGGCGTAGGTAAAAACATCTTCCCTACGTGTGGGAGGCGGTGTTTCTTTCCTTCTACTTTCGTCTCTAGTTCTCGCATAGTCGGTCGCTAACACATTCTCGCCAATGCTCGATACTACGGCTTCTTTTCGTGAATGAGCTTGCCCTTTGCTTTAGCTCACATCCGGTGAGTCGTTTCTTACGTGTGTTCTAGAGGAGTAAAAACAATCCCCAGATGCTTCAGAATATCATGTTCAAATTATAGACACATTGTATGTTGTGCATCTGCCTCCCCAGCACTTTATCACCTTTACTGCCTATTTTTTACCACTCTAGACCTCTAGACTGTACACGCCTTTGCGGTCAAGTTTTTATTGCTGTCTAAGACCCAATTTTAGTATTTTTCTGCACCAGGATTGGGCCCGTTCAATCCCTTCCAAGCGAGGCCTCGCGCCATTTTCGACATATTATCGTGTATCCAATTAGCCTACACCACGTGTGCACAGGATATGCCTGGGGCTATTTAGGCAATTTCCACCTTCGAAGTTTGAACACAAACCTTCCCCGAACAACTCATTCATCTCTACATCAACTCCTGAGTCAAAGACTCAAAATGTCCAACTGATGCTGAGCGTATTTCTCCGCTTGATGATAGCCACATACAATGGGTAGAGGCCACGAGCAAAAAGGTGGCCCAAGTAAATGATCGGAATTCCCAAGGGTGACGATGGTGACCAGTGGAGCGAAGAAGATCTTACCAAGATTCAAGCGAAGACTCCGGCTAGAGAGGCAAAAAGGATATCGTGCACGAAGTCTATATGTATACAAACTACTATTAATACAGGACAAGCACCACACCGTTTAAAAACAGTTTGCTGTCCAAAAACAACATGTCGCGATTGAACGAATGGATACCGCCACAAAAAATCGCGACTCCGGGGTAGAGACTTATTGATCACATCGGACCCAGAGGATGACAGACGCTAGGCTCGGACCGTAGATACAGCGGGAAATCGGCGCCACGCGGCCACTGACACCCTAGGCTCGGATTATCAATTGCCCTGGCTGAGACCCAATCCGGTTAGCTTTAACGCCTTAGCTTTCAGGCTTAGCCGCCTTTTTTCCACATCAGCGTCTAGTTACGTCTTTTCTACACTGCATGCATGACCTCTCATCTGCCAGCTATATTATGATTCGCGCTTAGTTGCTTCAGCTGCGTTCTATGACCAACTAGTTGAAGAGTTTGCATGATGGATGTTTAAAATATCGACACAAATATCCCCCTTCCGTCTCTGTTCTGCTGTTGAAGGGCGACTCGGAACGCTACCTAGGGTACCAGCGCTAACAACACCAAAGCTGGAGATATAACGAAGCTATATTTGAAGAGTCGGTCGTGCTATTCATCAACATGGAGAAGGAATTCTATGTCTCGTTACCGCACAATGTGATCCAGTTCGTGAAGGATAATGCAGAGGACTACTCCCTATTCATACTACTCGCCATCCTTGTGTTCTCATGTCTCTCAACCCGGACCATCACTGGGTTGCAGAGTAAACCGCAGGAATCAGGGGGCGGTGAGCCGCATCGTGTACGCAAGCTTCCATACTGGATCCCAATACTGGGACACGCATTGTCATACCTGTGGGATCATCGAGACTTTTTGCTCAAAGCTAAGTATGTCCGAGACTTTTCTCCACAGAAGCAGCCTAAGCGGTAGCACTAATATTATTTGTGTAGGAAGACTATGAAAGAACCTGTTGTGGCACTGCAAATGGGGCTGCACACGCAGCATTTTGTGTATTCTCCTGATATGGTTCGCACCCTTCTCCGCTCAAGCGAAACTCGTTCTGGCGTATATTTCAAGAGAGTCATGGAGAACTTTGTTGGTGATCCTGGAGCATTCCGCAAGCTGTCACCGCAGGCTCTAGTATCAATCAATCGTACACTGTTACCTCTGACTGAAGAACAATACCTAGCAAAGCTATCCTTAGCTTTGACTCGAGTTTTGGAGAGAGAGACATCGGACTTTGTCACTTTCAACCGTAGCATCGTCGACCAAAGCGTCTGGGAACGCAATGGTGTTGTTACATTAGAAGACGTCGATAGCAGTACTGGGGGCAACAGCGACTCGATAAGCTGTCGAGTCAACCTCTTTGCACTGACAAGAAGCTTTGCTACCTATATAATCACCAATGTTTTTATGGGCCAAGCACTTTTAGACTTTCATCCTGAGATTCTAGATGACTTGTGGAGGTGGGATTGTGGGTACGTGCCGTTGATAGCTGGAGCTCCACGCTGGATCCCTTCGCCTGGCATTTCGAGCGCATACGCAGCTCGGGACCGCGTGCAAAAGACCATTTCAGTGATTCAAGCCTCATTTTCAGCCCTGGAAGATGGCCGGAATGCTCCCTTGGAGTTCCGAGATTTGGACGACGTCTCGGAGCTGATGCAGAAGCGAATGCGATTTTGGAGAACATCAGGAATCTCATCCTCGCTCGGCAATCGACTGGACAGCTGGTTACTGTGGAAAATAACAATGGATTCTTCAAAACTTATCTTTTGGAATCTTATCCGTGTATTTTCCGATCCAGACCTGCTATCTAATGTGCGAGCAGAAATCGCGCCACATGTGCAAGTTATCCGTTCCGATCCAAAAGAAACAGGGCTGCCATTCGTGGAGCCGCCGAGAATCTCCATCGACGCTGGGAAGCTGTTTACAAGCTGTCCATTATTAAAAGCAACGTATGCTGAGACGATACGACTAGATTCGAATCCAATCTCATATCGGCAACTCACCGTCAATCTAGACCTGGCAGAATCAGACGAAGACGCGACTCTTCGTGGTAGCGGGAAACAACCGCGATCCTACAAGTTCTTCAAAGGAGACATTCTAGGCTTAGCTAGTGGCGCTCATCACATCGATCCCACATACTATCCTGATCCCAAGTCCTTCAATCCCGAGCGCTTCCTTGTTTCGAACCCAGACAACGACAGCAGCAGCAAAGACAAATCAGAACAATCATCTTCTTTTGATTGGAAAAATGTTTTACCGTTTGCTGGGGATAAGACTTTCAGTCAGCTCACCGAAAGGCAAGTCTTGTTGATCACAGCAGCAATAATTTCTCTATGGGATATTGAACCAGCAAGTCACTCGGAGAACAAGAGCGAGTTCAAAATTCCGAGTCATAGGATTTCTGCCAATACCTATATGCCTTCTACTGATGTGGGGGCTCGATTGAGACGGCGTCTCATAAATCCGAGCCACGAAACTCTATAATTGATGGAGGGAAATAGCATGCCACGGGCTGGATTTACTTTGCAATTTGAAAGCGTCTGTCTATGTGCATTATTGTGTATATTGACCTTTTGTACGATAATAGATAGCTATTTTTGATCGTATTCCCTGCTGTTGGTGTTCTGGTCTCTGGGGGAAATGTGTTGCTATTTCAAGTGTAGTTAGGCTTCATTTGGGTATTATATTCGCACAGCCTTTTAGTAAAGTAGATCTGCTTATCTACGCTGCGGTGGGTTGTCTTTTATCTGTAAGTCACCTACACAACAGTCTCTGCTGTATTAGAAAGGACTATGATCCTCCCATTACTAACAGAAGATATCCCATTCCTGTCAATAGACTATGTTCAGCAGAACTTCTCCTGACCAAGCTCTCTTCTCATTAGATTGGAATATTTTAGCTCAACTAACAAAGAGAATCTCAAGTAGACACTGGCCAACTAGATGGGGCGTTGATACTATTTCTTCCAGCCTAGTGAGCCATGGTTTGAGATGATACATGCATGTAATGGAATTTTCTGGATATTTTGACGTCGATTACAGCTATCACACATCGGAGAAACAAATACTCTATTCTTGTAGTTCATTCAATGCCTATCAGGATAATTGCATATCGCACGTGATGAAGTTTGCCCTGAACCGACGGGTGTCGTCTATGCCCTACTTTCGGTAATACAAGTTGATAGCTATGAAACTTGGGGTTTTAGCATTTATCATAAATATATAAACATGCACTGCGAGAATTTTGCTCCTACTATACCATAAGGTGGTTAATGAGTCATTCAAAGACTATTGATAATGTTTGTTGTGACAATCAATCGCAGGAAATGCGACTGGCTCAGCATATACATGGGATTTGAGTACCTAAGTTTCTGGGTATCAGTCCTTTAAGGAGAAATCTTTTAGCCTTGTATTGATAGTGGGCTCCCTTTAACCCTAACCAACCCTTACTGATAGATTAGGGCTTCAGTCGTCTGTTCCAAGATAACGCATCCTATAATGGATTGGAACGATGCGCAAAACTTGGAGTGAAATGCGGATAACCACGTTAGGCACATCAGTGCTACCCATGGATGGTTTTCTATATCGAGTCGAGCGGTGAAGTATTCTTTCCTCTCAGATAAAACTGGATAGAAACATGGTGGCATTTTAAAGTGTACCAGATCTTTTTCAATCTCTGTGCGTTCTAGATGCTGAAGCTAGTAAAGTAGCTTGTAATAACCTCAGCTTTTTACAATGGGTTCACGTTTATCACGAGCAGAGCAATCAATTTAGTGATCACACTGCCGTGCCTATGGTGTGTATGCGCGATGAAGACATGTATCCAACCTGCTCCCATGATTGGTGCTTCAAATCATTCGAAATCCGTATTGTATATACCTGGAAATTATACATAATGCTCTTCATCATCCACGTCCCTTTGTCGTTTCTCTTATTTGCCCTATTGCTCGATCATACACACTCCTCAGCCTGTCTTCCCCTTGCACTTAGCTCCGTCTCCGCGGGGGTTTCTCGCCGCCATGTCCAGTTTCCAAACGCACTAGATCTGATCAATCAGTACTTCGTATTATGTTTCAGTTTGACCGTTGAATTAATCCGATGCGTACATTCTGTAGGATAATACGTATGCCAGCATGATTATGATGATTGCCGCGGCAAGAGTGAAAATTTCGCCAGCAACTAGGCCGAGATACCTAGATTATAATTAGAAGGTGTCAAACGTCAATTATATGAGTTGAAGTACCCCCAGGCATTGATGGTTTTGGTATGAACAGAACGTGTCTCGTCATGCATAGTGGCGCCGGCTTTGGAAATTGTCACCAAGGCGAGGGAAGCAACGAAAACCATGCGGCGGGTCATTTTGGTCATCTCGTTTGTGCAAGAGGAAGAGACACGTAGAGCTAAGATCTAAATTTCGAAAGATTGTTCTTTGAGAGACAAAAAACAAAGATATTGGTGTTGAGAGAGATAGCTGGTAGTTAGAAAGAAGTGGAGAGGAGAAGAGAAGAAGAAGAAGAGAGAGAAAAAACAGAGAGATTCTACTCTTTCAGTATTTGAGGTTAGGAAAGAACCGCCAGAATCATCGCTAAATGCTACTTCCTGATAGTCAACCTCCCGAGCTGACATTGCGGAAAGCCCTGCCTGGTTGGAATATTGAGTTAAAGAGAAGAGGACACTATGTGAAACAGCCAATGCAATATCTAGGTATAGCCCTATAATTGTAATTGTATGAGGACATACAGATTCGAGCACAAATCTAGATTAAACGAAAGCCACAACCGACCTCACTGGGAATAGGGGCATTGATGTTACATGGAAAAATGCGAGGAATGTGAATGGCGAAATCATTTGAGTACAGACATGTAGGTATTTAGGATCATTTCATATAGAATCAATTATTACACATTAGAAGCCACCAACTGCCGTACAAGGGACCAGATCAATCACGCAAAAGACCAACCCCCTGTTTTTCCAGTAAAAAAGCCGTCGGGATCATATTTGTTCTTGATCTGCTGCAACTCAGCAAACGTTGAAAATGTCGACAAGGGATTCTGATCAGCACTGGCATCGTTAATGAACAACGGCAATCCATCAGCATTACCCACAGAGTCCACCATCTCCTTAAAACTAGTCTGCACCGCATCATAATCAACCTGAGACATAAAAGGAGGTGTTTCAAGGATATAACTAATCCAGTACCATGGTCCAGCAGGCATTTGCATCGCATTGCCTCCGTTTTGGGCATTGCTAGCTTCCGTCAGGCTCTCGGGGACCGGTTCAAAGTCGAATGTAAGAAGTTCGTATCTGCCTTTGTTGGTCTCAGCCCAATTGCGCCAGGCATTCAATGCAGCTTTATAGCTATTGTCCGTGACTTGGTGGACACCGACGCGGAATACGTTGTCCCCGCGGCTTAGTTGGGCGAGGTATGGTATAGGCATGTTGATTACTTCTGGGTATGTCTTCGCGGACATGGTATTCAATAGATAAGGGATACTTGTGAAATTGTTGAATACGTCACCGGGATCAAGTCCATCATAGACGAGAAACATGAGAATTGCCTCGTCAAGGTTCAAGTCTAGATCCGGCGTTGGTAGCTTCAGATATGTTGCAATGATACTTGCTTTTGGATCTGGATTGTACTGCATAAAGTCCCGGATAGCATCAGCCACAGCATCGCTCTGCTCAAACAGATATATAAGGTTCCCAGCATAGAATTCTCCAACTGGTCGACTCTGAACGGTGTATTTGGTGACAACTCCATACGCGTTCCCGCCGCCGCCACGCAGGCCAAAGAAGAGGTCGGGATAAGATTCGGATGATGCATTGACGATCTCTCCACTGGGTAATACGACCTCTAGCTCACGGAAATCATCGCAAGCCATGCCATACTGGGGTGATAAATAGCTCAAACCACCGCCTAGACCAGCACCCGTACCAACGCCCCCGAGTGTAGGACCGAGCACAGTGCGATTGAACTGGGCGTAGTAATCATAAAGATCGCCATAAGTGCTACCAGGCTGGTATATCGCGAGTGTGGTAGTAGGATCATACGAAATTGCGTTCAGGGAACTCAGATCAATCAGAACTCCCTGGTCGACAGACGAGAAGAAGTTGTTGGTGTTATGACCGCCCGCCTTGATTGCAAAGCGACTTCCAGAGGCACGGATGGATTGCAGTGCAACTGATACATCCTGTGAAGATTTAGGATAAATAATGCAAGAGGGCTTGTAGTCACTTTGCAGCGCGTTCCAGTAATCTTCTGTGCTGGCGAGATACTGCAGGTTGAGCGGATTGCTGATGACTTTTTCAACACCCAGGGAATTTGTTAGGTTTGTACATGCGGTTGGACCTGGGTTTGCTGTGCCATATGCATGGGCTACAAGGTATATGCCAATTAAGGCAAAATTTGTGTTCATTTTGTCTCTTTAGAGGTTCTCTTTGACATGTTAAAGTAGCCCGATTCTAGTAAACAAACATGCGCGATCAATAGATAGACACTACGGCAGACCATTCGCACAAAACTGGCATGGCACGTGTAATGCATATTTTTTCTGCTTCTCTTTTTGTTTTCATTCCAATTTTCTCCATCTGCACGCCAGGACTCTGATATCACGGCGGGGTGCATAACTAGTTGATGTCGCTTCAACGGCATTGGCCGACTGCGAATCTACTTTGCACAGGGATCTGCTAGCGGCACAGCCCACTGAATAAATTAACAAAAACAAGCCTGGTAGTAGTTGCTAGCGAGTCATTATTTGGATATCTGTCTACGAAGTGTATGAGCAGTCAATCGTCATACTATATAGATCGTGAGATCAGCACACACCGCGGAATTAGAGCAGCACTACTGTCAGGCCTTAATATAATTGAGATACCCCAAAAAGTCAATATCATCCTTTCCACTATCTATATCTATCTAGTATTGGGCACTAGTTTTCTTGGGGCGACTTCCTAAAATTGAGCCTCCATTGGCCTATCGCCGAGCAATTTCCGGGCGGTGGCTATTCAATGAGTTGCATATTAGCTGGCATGCCATTTCACCAGTGAATTCAAAATTCAGCCCCCTTCAAATACGAACCTACTCATCAAAATCAAAAGACAACGTGTTTCTTGGCCTGATGTCATATCGAGGCTTGCGCTGAGCAGAGCGCTACATATCGCTAAATCAGGTTAGCAGCATCAGCCTCCTACGAAGATCATCCATCAGCTTGAAGTTTCGCACATCGGAACTGTTAGTTTTGCGAGACTTTTGATTCCAGGCATATATTTAGGCTTTCTATAAGCGCTGTATGATTCCAGAACGAGACTAATTCGCGCTCGGCCTGGGGATGTTGTCATACCCGGAATATGCATATATAAAGACATAGAAGTTCCCTGGCAGAATGGTGGAATTGATACGAATTGAGAATCGCAGATACGTCGTAGACATTTACATTATTTTACTTGAGTTCTATTCATATTCGTTGCATCTTACAAGAGACATCACAAAAATGCTTGCTCGTTTCGTCCATCTTGCCCTCTTCCTAGAGCTCGTCTCATCCCTCACTATCCCGACACGGAACAAAAATAAACGGAGCTCAACTTCTCTCAACATAGGCCGTTCACCGTATCATGTTGAGATATCGAAAGTTCATCGTGGGAGTCCCCAGGCTCGGTCAAAAAGAGGTTACAAACCACACGAATCCAACAGCACCCTAATCCGTCCTACCAATTCCAATCTCCAGTATGCAATCGAAGTCAAATTCAACGGCATACCGCGCTATCTGCTCCTCGACACCGGTAGCTCCGACACCTGGATGTTTGCTGAAGATTTCAAATGCAGGGCTGAAAATGGGACGTCGGTGCCCACATCCCAGTGTAGAATTGGGCAGCCTTATATGGGCGATGCCCTACTCAACGAGGGCTTGGATGAGACTCTAAGCATATACTACGGCAATAACGAGAACCCCACAGGTCCAATGGGATATGCCGATGTTTCTATTGCCGGGCTCAACATTGAGAATCAACAAGTCGCACTCGTCAATGATGGATACTGGGCAGGCGACAATGTTCTCAGCGGCGTTGTAGGTGTTGGCAATCGTGGGTTAACAGAGGCTTTTGCTCCTGGTTCTGACGTGCCCAATCTATACATGCCCGTGTTTGAATCCTTATACAATAAGACTGGACAGATTGATCCTCTCTTTAGCGTAGCTCTTCAGCGAGGAGACGCTGGAGGCTACCTTGCGTTGGGAGGGCTCCCACCTGTGCATTTTGAGGAGGATTTTGTGACTACCGAGATGTTGCCCATTCCCTTTGGGACGAAGGGGAAGACGCGCCCTTTCTACTCGATCCAGACTCCAGGTTATACATTGAACGGAAAGAAGTATACCAATGAGTCTTTCTTAGCAGTCGTTGACACTGGCACATATCTCAATCGTTTTCCAACTGCTGTTGCGGATAAAATCAACGCTGCATTGTGAGTATCTGCCCATGCAAGCACGTAATTAGTAAATTCAAGTACTAATCATGGTCTTTCGCATTTCTAGTAACCCCCCAGCAGCCTATGTTCCATCATACGACGTCTACGTGACTTCATGCAATGCCACAGCCCCCCAATTCGGAGTGATCATCGAAGGGAAACACTTTTATATGGATCCCGCCGATATGTTGGTAGACGCTGGTTATGGCATATGTGCGACTAGTATAACTCGTGGGTTCTCTGTAGATAAGAATCTCTATCCAGATGGATTTTATATTCTCGGAGATGTGTTCCTGCACAACGTGGTTGCTGTTTTTGACGTGGGAAATACGAAAATGCATTTTGCGCCGCATACAACGTATTAACGAAGTTTGACATTGATTTTGTGTAAAATACACGGAATTGACTTTTTCATGAATTTACAAGGTGCATTAATACTATCTATCTACCTAAGCTTCATCACGCAATCGGGATTATCTCCGTCAATCAACCTCCCCGCATCAGCTTAACTCTTACTATACCTCTCAAAAAAAAAAAATCAATCAAAGCACCAGGAAATGGCTTCTTCATCATTCACTTCAATCCCCATTCTAGACCTTTCTCTTGCTTATTCTTCCTCTCCTACCGACAATAAAGATCTTTTAAACAAGCTCTACCACGCTCTTACCTCAGTCGGATTCCTCTACATCACCAACCACGATGTCCCTTCTGCTGTGATATCAGATTTAGTGGATGCACTACCAAAACTCTTCTCGCCATTGATATTGACTGAGAAAACCAAGGAGGAAATTGCACTGCATAATTCCCCGCATTTCTTGGGGTATAGTAGTGTTGGCGCCGAGACTACTGCTGGTAGAATAGATCGTAGGGAACAGGTCGAATACGCGACTGAGTTGGATGAGACATGGACAGCAGAGAATGGATTGCCATTGTATGAGAGATTGAAGGGACCTAACCAGGTACTTTTTCTCGTTATTACGCTATTCTGCCTGCGCCTACTAAATCTTTCAAATAATGAGTAGTGGCCGTCTGAGTACCCTGAACTCAGACCAGTAGTCGAGAGATACCTCTCGGAGTTAACAGCTCTGAGCGAGCGATTTCTCAAACTCGTTGCTGAAGCCCTCACGCTTCCTCAAGAGGTCTTCTCTCAATTCTTATCTGAGCAGCATCGTCTCAAGCTCGTTCACTACCCTGTCTCTTCTTCTGCAGGCGATAAAGAAGAGCAAGGTGTTGGCCCACACAAAGACTCCTCCGGTTGGTGGACATTTCTCCTCCAGGCATCACCACCATCAGTCAAAGGGTTACAGGCACTAAATCGTGAGGGACGGTGGATCGACGTACCAAATATTCCAGGCACCTTTGTGGTTAATATAGGACAGGCGTTTGAAGTTGTTACGAATGGGATGTGCAAGGCAACTGTCCATCGTGTGGTGATCCCGTCTGGGCAGGTTAGTGAGAGGTATAGTATACCGTTCTTTCAGGGGGTTAGGGGTAATTTGACAAAGGAAGAGGCTGTGGGGAGGCTGAGAGAACATTTTTGGAAATTACGACAAGAGCAAAAGACTCAAGAGAGCAATGAGCAAGGGGCAGATATCGATTCTCCGTTTTTGAAAGGGAAGTATGATACTTGGGGGGAGTCTCAGCTGAGAATTAAGATTAGGTCGCATCGAGATGTCGGAAGAAAATTTTATGGGGATGTCTATGAGAAATATCTCAATGACGATTGATTCATTACGGGCGATTTACAAGAAATTTGATGGCTTTAAATTTGTATAAATCTTTCTTCCCATTTCGTGTCAGCGTCTACGGCAAGAGAATAACAACATCAAGATCAAATCTGGCCAAGTTCGGAGCTTTACCAGCAATTCCTTAGGAGGCTTAGATAAATTATACAGTCTTAATGTTATGGCCACAGGTATGCGCGAAGAGCTCCTCCAATGGAACTTTGCGAGGTATCATCGCTTGGTCATATAGGAAAGATACCAGAGCTTCCAATGTCTTCCGATTTGCCTCCAAGCCGTACGGCCAGGGATCACCCCCAAACAACTCATCAATCTCCTGGATATTCGATTGCATAAACGGCAGCATATAACGAGAGCCTCCGCTAAATCTTAGTCGACGCATTGCGATATCTTTAGAGTCGTTCATAGCGTTGAACAGACTGGTAGAAATAAATGGATACTTGTCAACAAGTTCCTTCTTGAGAACAACAACGTGCATAATGGGAAAAATGCCGGTTTCTCGGTAGTATTCCTTTTCTGTCTGGCGGACATTTGGGAACAGCCGGTGAACATTTCTGGCTTTCCCCAAACATGGAGGCAACTGGGCTCCAATAGTGGCTGCAATTTCGCCGTCCTCAAGTAGCTGGCTGAGTGATTTTGAAGGGTTTTCATTTGGAATCCGTTTTATGGGACGCAGTAGAGGTTTGGGATTTGCTTCTCCGTGAGGGCCAGGTTTTTCAATGGCACCCTCTATCCATGTAATGGTGGAAAGATCAACGCCGGCATTCGCAAGAATACCTCTTATCCACACAGCGGCAGTCATGGTATACAGCTGTACACCGATGCGTTTACCATTGAGATCGGATGGCTTTTTGATAATATCCGTATTAACGGCTATGAAGTTATGGCGAAAACTTCTGAGTGGAAAGACTGGAATGGCAACTAGATCCCTGTCTCCACTTGCATATCGGCAAATGTATTCGGAAGATGACATCTCTGATACATCAAATTCCATACCGCCTATCATGCGGTCAAAGGTATCTCTGGGGTGGTCAATTGAGATGTAGTTCAAATCAATTCCAGCTGGCCGCACATCTCCTTTCGCCAGCGACTCCATTCGATCATAAGGCCCACAGGCAAATGTGAGGGGAAGCTTGGTTGCCATTTTTCGATTTATTCTTCAGCTGAGTTTGAAAATACTAAAGGGAAACGGCCACAGAGATTTTTGTAGGAGAAATTAAAGAGGAATCAGTTGATACAAGAATTGGGAGTTTGAGTGTGGTTATCTCATTAACCGGGCGACGTCAACCGACTTACGCCTTTGAAAGTAGCTTATATCCGAGGTCGGAGTTTCGGACTTTCCCCTAGTCTCTTTTGAATGTCTTGATAGCATTATAGACATATACCGCCAACATGCCTTCGGACGCCCAATCGATTGGGTAGAAGATTTGGCTCATACAAGCTCGGCGTTGTTTACCAAATTTGGCACGGCTTAACCCTAATTTGAAGCATTCCACAAGGAAGATGATAAGCCTTTTACATGACGTGCCATTTTTTTTTGTCTATTCGCATTGATCAATCATGTTTAAGAGATTTCCCTGGGCATTATTTGGCTGCCTACCCCAAATGGTTCTACCAAAGGACCACCTCGATTTTCTTGAGGCCAATATGATGAACATTCAACAACGCAAACATCTTTAACTAGTACATATCCTAGTAGAACTATAACCTGGAATGTCTCATAAAGCCTAGGAAACTTGTATTGAATAGGAAAGAAGCATTAGATTGTTTTCCAAATACGCATACATCTAGTTTCCAAAGTGCTCCTTGAACCATTGAACGGCCTGCATGAAGGCACTCTCCTTGGCAAACTGCACAGAGCGCCTGTTCAGACTGCCCCTGACAGCAAAGCCATGTTCAACACCGCCGTAATAATTGATCTGGTAGGGTATACCCAACGTCTTTAAGATGTCCTCCGACTCATGGCGTTTCTCTGCTGGGAATATGTGATCATTCTCGGCAGCAGAGATGGCCAGCGGGCCCTTGATTGATTTCAACTCGTCGGGAGTGACAAATGACGGATGGGCGAGATAGCCAACATCAATTTCACCCTTGTCTGGGTGGAGATGACGAACGACGTATTTTGCGCCAAAGCAGTAGCCCACAGCTCCAATTTTCTGACGTAGCAACACACACAATCAGTTTCTCAACCTAGATAGCTTTCTCCAATCCAAATGGGGAAGAAAGCCGGCAAATTCGAAGTTTCATGGTAAGTCTTACCTTGCAGCCGTACTTGTTCCGCAATCCAGCCAAGCAAACGTCAACAATGGGGTCAATGGCTAAAGGCCCGTGGCCCTTCTTCCATTCTTGCATATTGAAGCCATCTGGCCGGTTCAGCGGGACAGGATCACCACAGAACAGATCAGGCATCATGACGAAGTAGCCATTAGCAGCGAACTGGTCAGCAAGCAGTTGTGCGTTGGTGAACCGGTAGCCAATAATATCAGTGAGGCTATGTTACTTGGTCAAAAATATGTCTTCCATATATGAATCAACACAAACGATTGGGAATGCTCGTACAATAGCACAGCATAGTCCACGGACTTGTTGGCTGGGTAGCTGATGTAAATTTCAACGCCATTTAGCGTCGAAAAGCTTCCGGTAGTCTTGCCGTCATGCTTAACGCCTTGATAGCAACAGGCTGCAGGGGGATGGGAGGACATGTTGAAAGTTCACTATAGTATTCGTCAAATAGGTAATTTGCGAGCTGGTGTAGGGTTCTCCTAGGTTCATAAATGAATACTGGAGCAAGAAAAAAAGCAAAAGTCTTCATCTCGGCAGTTGCTCAATATTCCAGAACAACCTCGACAATGATTCAGTCAACGTCGGAGATAAGCTCTTCGAGGATGAGCTCGTCGGACATACTTTCTAAGCTTGTCCAACTATCAACAGCCACCAGTGGGTCGCTCCGCTCTACCCGCTACACCCGCCTGTGGAAAGACAGATCATTGGCTACTTCAAAATAACTTCCATAAACTAGTTATATCAGATTAACGACAGTTACTTCTATGCCACTTTACACGCGAAAATTTTCTGAATTATGCTCATTATTGGTGAAATCAAGCTAAAATATTTTATCAGGGGGCTTAACTATCCCGTGATGGCCATTTTCTGCGGTATACGAAAGTGTGGTGCCCTTGCATCCAGCATTTCACGGAGTTCAGAAGTAGATTATTAGCTATTTTGAATTATTTTTGAATGGCAGAGCCTTGGAAAGCACTCTTCTGCAAACCAAACATTTATTCGAGCCTCTAAAGACCAGAAAAGCGGAAATAGCCGTCCTTCTCTAAAATTCTCTTGGGCCCATGTGACGATGATCCCTCTGCATATCTCGGAATGTCTATTCTGATGACGACTCTAGATATACTTTCAAGGCCGCTCGGAGTCGGACCCTGCTTCCTAATATGAAAGCACCTCTGGTCTTGTCCGAATTGTTTCTCTGCTCGCAGCCCGGACAACGGAGATTCTCCAAAAGAAGTCATACGTGGTTACATTTTGAAAATTGCATTTTCTCGGTTTTTACATCCGAGCAGGTCTTCTCGGACTAATTATACTAACGTTACTCCCTTTTATCCATGTTCTGATTAGGCTTGTTGGCATGTGCTTCTTGACTGAATTCGGATTCACCTCCGAGTCAGTTACTTTCTACGTGGTTAAAGACATATTTTTATTTCCCACTATTGGAGGTGACAGAAAAGTTTTGTTTTTTTTTGTTTTTTCTCTTTTTTTTCATTCTAAAATCTCAAGCATGAATACATCATTCACGGTATCACTACTCGCCCGTAACACTACATACATACTTCTGGTCGAACAGAACCGATGATGGCACAAAACTTTTCACCAATTCCCGTCGAGATGCACGCTACTAGCTTAACGATACAATTAGCCAGCATTGAAGAAGAGAAGTTGAATACACAAGCCCCAAATCGTGATGGCTTTGATAATCCACTTTCGCATTTCAAAACGAACAGTGACTGCCTTGTCAAGTTCGATGGTCTGGATGACACATATCGCCCAGTGAACTGGAAGGTTCACCAAAAGTTCTGCTACAACGCTAATAAACGGATCTATGGGTATGCTACGCCTTGCTCAGATTTCCTACCTTCTTTAACTGTGACTTAATTTACTCGTGATTTGTAGGCGCGGCTTGGACGAGTTCAGTGTATGTCGACCGCAAACACCCCCTAATGCTTACTTTATAATATTTATACCCATCTAGGTTCCCACCCATAATTTTGAAGTTGTTGATCGATTTTATATCGGATAGGAAACTGGGACCTTGGGCTTATCTCTATTTCTCTTTGGAGTCGGCTTAGGTCCTCTTTTATGGGCTCCCCTTTCCGAAGTCTATGGCGAACGGCCTGCCGTGCTCATTCCATACGCGTGTCAGGGCTGCTGGGAAGTAGTCACGGGGATCTGTCTGAACGGCTGCTTATATTTGCATATTTGCATTTTGTTTGTTTGTAGAACAGATTAAACCCATGAACATTCAGCGAAGGAGGTCGCTTTCTTGAGAAAATTAATAAGAAATATATCCACATAGTAGATTTCTAGGTTCACGACTGAGTGAGGTCAAATTAGGGCTATCAAGGGCATGTGATTTTCTGGCCCACCGACTTGGTCGTGCCTGCCAAAAATCAGATAGCAATCATGGCATCTGAGCACGTCAATGTTTTCCACTGATTTTTATCTCCTCAAAACTTCTATCATTGACTCATAATGCAAGACCATTATGTCAAACGAGTCTTACATCGTATATATGTGTGAATGCAGACCATCCAGAACGCCGCGCGGCCATTATCAGGCAAGCCTACCAATTTTGGGTGCAAATTGACAGTCTGCAAGTTCCCGACTGGTGAAATGACAATGTGAAACATAATTCTAGAAAAAATGAGCATTTCCTCTTTCTCTCCTCTGAAGCTGATACAAGTGTATCACAATTGTCATACCACACCGGACGTAACTGCAACACTGGGTCGTCTGAAAAAGGGGGAATCAGAGAAAGGATGGGAGCAAAAACTTGGACCCGGGGCCAACGAAGGCATTTTAAAGCTGGCTGCTGATACTTTGAGATACTGGTATCATTGAGCCGATTAATATTGCCTTGAGGATGGCAGAGAGCAGAAGGGGAAGAAGAGGAATTCCTTCACGCCAGTCCCAGCCTTGTGATACAGCTTGTTCAAGGAAATATTGCGACAGTATTCGCTCTTCGGCAGCTTGCAGGATACCACATACATGTATAACCGGCGCTGCCACACCTTGCACGAATTGGGTGTCTGCCAACCAAATCTTGCTAAATTCGCTACCTTGACTGACCAAAATCACTTGCGATTATTTTTACGTTTCTGACCAGATTACAACGTCCATTTTCTTTTCAAAACTCTTCAGCAAAAAGAAAAACAGCAATGGATCCTGTGACGGCCATTGGCCTTCTCTCCAACATCATAGGCTTTATTGATCTCGGGTGGAACTTATTCAGAGATGCACGAGAAGTTTACAAATCAGCCTCGGGACTCACTGAGAGTGCGCTCGCGCACAAGTTAATGGCAGAGAGAATGGAAAAGTTTTCGAACAATCTTATCACCTCTAATAAGGTCCTCTTAACTTCCAAAGAAGATAAGGTCATCGTTGAACTTGCATGCAATTGCAGGAAGTTGGCGCAGGAAATAATCCATCACTTAGATAAGACGAAACCTCAGGATTCGAAATCATTACTTTATGCCGTGTCCAGTTCATTCAGAACGGTTGTGCATTACAAGAAGAGGAAAGAACTTCGAGAACAACTGGCCGAGTGCCAACAACAATTGCACCTACACCTGGTTAAGACCACAAGGTTTGTCACTCGCATTTTGTTCCAGCTTTACTAGTTGTGAATACTCGTTGGCTAAGTCATGATTTAAGCTCTGAAATCAAGATCTTTAACAGCGTTAAAGACCACCTCCGAGAGCAACGATAAGCGGATGGCACAGCTGCAAGATCACGTCAGAGCACTTCGTCAAATGGTGGACGAATCATCATTTCCGGATGCTCTATTTAAGCTGAGGAATCTTCTGAACATCTCAGAAGATACTTATAATACCATGCTCAGTCACAAGGTCGTCTCGACTCTTAAGACTCTTAAGTTTGGAGACATGAATACAAGATTTGATAGCGTTCCTCAGGCGCTCATGGGCACCTATCAATGAATATTCGATGATAAATTGAATGCGGATGAGAGATATATTCATCGAGAAAAACTAGGTCAGTCCTTGAATACTTGGCTCTCATCGGGTGATGGAATCTTTCATATCGCTGGCAAACTAGGATCAGGAAAATCCACATTGACGAGGGTGCTTTATCAAGATCATGGCACCAAGGAAATATTAACGGAATGGCCTGGTAACAATGAGCTTATTATCCTTTTTTTGAGAAACCAGGTTCACGGCTTCAAAAGCCATGGACAGGACTTTTTCGCTCGCTACTTTACGAGTCTCTTAAGGGCGCTCCGGAACTTGTTGAGAGAGTGCGACCCAGACAATGGAACAAGGCAAAATCAAGCGATTGGACAAAGATCAATGTCTAGAACTCAACTTACTCAAGGAGAGCATCATTGATAAGTCTGCGGGTGTCTTTCTCTGGGTTACTTTGGTCATAGGACAGTTACGCGAATTGCGCGAAGACGGAGAGGATATCGAAATGATGAGAAGAGAGATTGATAAAGTCCCAACAGAGATTTAGAACGTGTTCAGACACATTCTGCAGTCCAATCACCCCAATCGATGATTACGAGTCCATCGAACATTTGCAACTCTACAAAGGTGGAACGAGTATAGAAAGAAAGCGGATATCAATCTTTTGCTCCCGCTAGGTGCTACTTACTTCATAGACGATTGTTTTACAGATTTACCGGATGAATGTGTAATACCCGCGCTGATGAAGAAGTAGGAAGAGAAGTCTGCAGAAGATCGACTCATAGAAGCACGCAAGATGCTGAGGGGAGCTGTAGGGGCTTGCTAGAACCGACAGAGCATGACCATGCATATATACGCCGACCCAATACATGGGTAGTCGACTTTACGCATCGCTCCGTCCCAGAGTTTTTGCAATCTTACCAACCTCAAGAGCGAGAAGAATGTATAAAGGGCTTTTGTGTGGACAGCGCCATCTATCGGCTGTTTTTGACACGTCTATGGGACAAATCTCGCGAGGAATTCTCATTGAAAACGCGATGGCTTAGTTTAGTGACATGCAGTATTATGAAATTTAGGTTCGAAAATAGGCTCAGCAACAAGCCTTTTTTTTTTTTTCTTTTTTTTTCGAAAGTCGACTAGAATCAACACTTGATGCATGTGTTGAAATGCACGCCGAAGAAAATGACTACCGTTGTATAATGTTCAGGTTTAAATTCATTAACCGAGAATCATTCAAGTTCTATCCATGCAATCCTTTACACCTCGTGGCTTTTATTGGAAATTTGGAGTATGTTAGATGGAAATTAAATCAAGACTCTGGACCCTCATATTGATACTATTCCATACTCTTGTCGCATTCACTAATACAATGCCTAATACTTATCTCGAGTGAATGGTCCAAAGCTCCGGGTCTGGCAACACCTCCATTGGAGAAACAGAAACGTCAAGTGGATTTGGATTATCTGCATCCGGACGAGGGTACGAATCGTTTCTTCCAATATCTCGCGAAACATAGGTGTGAATGTTGCTATCCACCATCGCCGGACAAAGAAGCAGCTCCCATCGTCGAGATCGACGAAGAAGAGGCTCAGAATGATGACAAACCTACCAACAACAACACCATCATCACCTAACGAGCAAAAGAGTGATGGAATTACAATAACACCAGAAATCCCAACAAACGCAGAGATAGAAGACGTATATGGTCTCCAGGAGTCGGCATCGGACGACAAATCAACATGGAATTTTCAAGTTATATACATGCTTGGTACGCTGTGCCTTCATCTTTTCCATTTCCTTGACAGTAAATGTTTGGCTAATACTTTTCAGGACTTGTTGCTGCTATTCTCTGCATGCAGCTTTTGTATCTAGAATTGGGGTGGAATTTAAGGGCTACCTGGTCATGAGTCTCACCAGGCTTCAAATCCAGAGCAGAGGAAATTTGCAACAGCTAGCGATGTGCTTGATTTGTTTTCGAATGTTGTATGTATACAGAATGTGTCAGAATTTTGTAGCTTTCGTTCGTCAGGTATTTAATGATTTGTCTGCCATATAAGAGTCTCTACTAAGACAATGGATCAATGTAAGAGATGAACTTCCTAGCCTGCCCAAGTCATTTCACAGATAGTCAGAAACATAACTATACCTACACTACATCCTCGAAACAAAAAGAAAATGAAACGTTTCTCCAGAAGAAAACCCAACTACAACATCCCATTGTGAGAGGTGACTTACACACCTAATAGGGCCGATGCTATCAAAGAGCGGTCAGACTATTGAGTTCTGAAACATTCCAACTCGGCTGTTGTTTTAGGATAGCTCCGATTTGGTGAATGGAATTGATGATCTCATCACAAAAGACTCGCTCAGTCTTTGTGCCAAAGGATGGAGGCAGGCGAGATAGGTACTCCGTAAAGTTGACTGTCCAAGGTGGCAGTTATGTAGTTGCTAAACTCATTACATGCGCTCTTCAGGTAACAGCTCGTGTGAAACAATATATGTCATAATCTGTCATAAAGATTTGCTGAATCAACTAGCACTCTAAGTGTAAGCCAAACCAGAATCCAAAAGAAAAAAGAAAAAAAGAAAAAATCCAACTCTTGCTTGCTTTCTCGCTTGATAGACCATTCACGCTGCGTAAAGAATATGTTCGTTTCCATAAAACAAGGATCATACCATGATTTGATTCCAAAAAAAAAAAAAAAAGGCAAAAAAAAAAGTTTCCTTCCTTCTTCCAAATAAAGCCAGACTCGTGAGGTTTCATTTCATTCTTCTACAGTATAATCAAACTACAACATCCTTGCGCTTCTCAAAGACCACACGCAACTGACCCGGCGCTGCAGTGAATTGATCTACCATGTCATCCACGACACCCTTTCCATCTTCGCCGGGGGCAAAGCGGACGTCGAATTTGGAAACCAGGGATGAGACGACGTATTGCATTTCCATGTATGCGAGGTTTTTGCCGATGCAGTAGTAGGCGCCTGTATTGTTAGTATTGTACCGTTTTATGTTTTTTTTCCTTTTTTTTTTTCCTTTTATCGGACGTAGAGGGGCAAGACTTACCAAGAGCGAAAGGGGCAAATGCTTTCTTGTTGAGGATCATTTCGGGCTTGCTGTACCATCGTTCGGGGATGAAGTCGTTTCCTTGGACAAAGCATGATTCGACTGAAAGGTCAGTCAGATATATGAAAGAAGAGACGAAAGATCAAAAGAGAAATACTTACGTCTCGAAATAGTCCACCGCGGCGCACAAATCAGCGTATTGCCCGGCACCCATCTCCCCCCAATCTCAAAGCCTTCAGCCGGGGTCTCGCGAAGCCCGCCGGTGGGCACGGCCGGATGCAGACGCAACACCTCATTGATAACGCCATTCAGATGCGGCAGGGCCTGCAGTTTACGGAAATCATGCATGTCAGTCAATCCTTCCTGCTTTTGCTCCTGTCGCAGCTTCTCAAGCTCCGAGGGGAATTTGGCGAGGTAGTAGAATATGTAGACGAGAGTGTAGGCAACGGTGTCGCTGCCGGCGATGATGAGAGCGATGGAGTCGCCGTAGAGGGTGTGCAGGTCTTTGGTGAGGCGGTCATGTTTGGCGGACCAGCCGATAAGGTAGCTTGATACCTACAGAATGTTAGTTATGTGTGCGTATATATAAAGTAGTCAGCCTGAGGTGGGTGTACATCGCTGTCTTTTATTCCTTCCTGTTATCAGTCAGCCAGTGTTACTAAGTATCATGGTTCCCACGAGATATGGAGAAAGGAAGAGAGAGAGAGAGAGAGAGCCTACACTAATCCGCTCATCCATCCGTCTAGCACACCAATCCTCCATCTTCAAGAAGTTGCGCACAGTGTCCAGAACGGGCACCGCAAAAGCGACACGGGTCAGCCATGGTACAGGCGTGAAAGGACCGACAAGCTCCAATCCCTTACGGAGCATCTTGATAGCATAATGCCATTTCCCTTCCTCAAGCATGCCAAAGGACTTGGAAAATGCCAGTTGGCCCATGACATCCCACGAAAACCAGTAGAAGTATTGGTTGACAACAACGGGTTTGCCCACTTGTTCCTCGATGAGGTTCGCGAGACAGTCTGCATGGGTGGTGACATTGGGTTGGTAAGAGGCCAGGGCTGTAGGTTGTAATCTGTTAGAAGGAAGCTTCTCATAGGACGGCACCCAGAAAGGGGAAAAAAAAAAAAAAAAAAAAAAAAAAAAAAAAAAAAGGGGAAGAGTAAGAAGGGTGTTCACCTTTGGTGGAAAAGGCATAATCCCAGATTCGTCGGCGGTGCTCATGCACATACTTGCTCCGGTGTGTATTCAAGCCGGTGTAAGGCCGGAGGTTGTCATACCACGCCGGCTTGGTGAAGGGGTTTCTGTTTCCCTCGTAGATAGTGACAAGGGTGTCGGGATGGAAGATGGTGAGTTCATTGGGGCCTATCCAGGTTAGCATCTATTCTTTCTCCAAGGCACAGACTAAGGAAAGAACATACCAGTGCGCACAAAGTCGCCGTACTTCTTATGCATCTCCTCCATCACAACATAGTTCTTCGAGTCCAGACACCGCACGACATGCCACAGCTTAGTCATGCGCGCCAGCAAGGGTCCAGGGTAGTGTCGGAGAGGGTGGAACAAGGTCCGGTAGACGGAAATACTCCCAAACAGGCCAGTTGCATACGCAAGGGCTATAAGCGAGCCCTCCTGCAGAGCTCCCACAGCACCCAGGTATCTGGACGCTGGGAACAGGATCACTGCCCAGATGGCCAGGTGTGCTTGCAGCACGGCGACGGCCTTCAGGTGCCATTCGCCGTAGATGAAGATGGAACGATGGGCTATGATTCCCACGAGGAAAGCAATGGCTTTGCAAGTGTAGGTGGCTTCAAAAGCGCCGATTTTCAGAATAGTTTGATCCATGCTTGGCCAAAGGACAGCATAGATGGGATGCAAGAAAAAAGGAAAGGTAGGACTTTTTGGGTTTGAAAGGACATGCAAAGATAAGTGTGCTGTCTGGCAAGAACTGCCAGAGTATATATTGGTCCCTTGGTCCGGTGCTATAGTCCAATTGACTGAGTGAATTCTTCAAGGTTTGTCCTAGCAGATAGAGGGAGGGGTAGAAGAAGACGATGATGAGAAATCCGAAAGTTGGGAGCGAGTCAGCGTCTATCAGTGCAGCAGCTAAAGCGAACCGGTGGTGGATACAGAGTGCATATTCAGGAATTGCCAGAATTGGAGTGAAGTCTAAATTGGGTGAAGTGCTGAATGGAATAAACACGTAGTAATATAAGCACACACAGCCCACCATCAGAAACTTGCCGAGCGAGCGCTATCTACAATAATGTACTCGACCGGACCCATTAATATACACCTGGACTCGAGTATGATTAAAGTTACGACTTTTCGTAATTTGTAGAGAACCTATGGGGCCGTGTTACGCACATGTATTGAATAACAAAGGACGCTAAGAATATCAGAGCCAGAAAGAAAAATAGAAGAAGGCCATGTCGGATGATAAATTTTTTTGCCTTCTCTTCCTTGCCTTGTGTCTATATATATATATTTGTTTGTTGTCTGGCCTTTCTTCCTTTTTTTTCCCTTTATTTTCTGGAAAAAACTGCCATGCATGCCCTGCCCTGCCCTGATCTGATATGATCTGATATGTATGATTGATTCTCGTGCCTGCGTCTTCCTGCGTTATCACAACATGGCCGCCATCAAAAGGACGTTACCAAGCCTCCGGGACGCACTGCATGTAGCCACCTCGCTCTGGCTCTTCACAGCAGATGACATGTTCTCCATCATGATCCCCAACGTGGTCTGCAGTCTACTTATCGCGGTCACAGGCAGCCCGTTTGGGCCGGCGATTGCTTACACCCAACTTGCGGCGAGGACGCACGCCGTAGTGGCATGGGTATGGATCAACCTGCTTTTCTTTAATGTATCAAACCAGCTACAGGACGAGTCGATAGCGGAAGACCGCGAAAACAAGCCGTGGAGGCCACTGGCGTCTCGCAGGATCAGCCAACCGCAGGCTAGGGTGCTGTACATGGCACTTTGGCCCACGGTGTGGGTCATCAGTAGCCTCACGGGGGGCATTCTCCCCAGTATCAGTCTTCAGCTGCTCGGGTTTGCGTACAACGAGCTGCAGATGGGCGAGCAGTGGTGGTTCCGCAACTGCATCAACGCCGGCGGATACATTAGCTTCCTCCTGGGCGCCGTGCAGGCGGCGCTGGGTACCTTTCGGCTGCAATACTCGGAGCTGGCTCTGCGGTGGCTGCTGCTGGTGGCGGGCGCGGTGACCACGGGCATCCACGCGATGGACCTGTACGACCAGGTGGGCGACGCCAAACGAGAGCGCAAGACCATCCCGCTCGTTTGGGGAGACCGCTGGGCACGCCGCAGCATCGTGACCTCGGTGTCGCTGGTGTCGCTCAACGCCGCGCGCGCAATTGGCGCTGGCAGCTCCGCCAGTGCGGGCCCCTCGATTGTATTGGCGGCCGTGATTGCTGCGCGCCTGACAGAGCGCGCGCCGGCGTGCGTGCGCGAGGACAAGACCACGTTCAAAATATGGTGTTTGTGGATCATTTCGCTATACTTGGTGCCGGTGCTGGACACTTTGATAGTGAGGACGACGACGATGCAGCCGCCCCGCCGCTGAGTGGCAGTTGGCTCGCTCGCTTGCTTGCTTGCATGCATGTGCAATATAGTTACTGTAGCCACCCAAGCGCATGCAGCGATCAACAAACCGGATACGACGTTTGCTCCCGCGCATTTCTTAGCATTATGCGCTATACATGCATGGCGGCGGGG